AAAATGATAGGGGGGCTTCCAAATCCGGCAGCTACAACACCTGGTCTGCCAGATATGGAAGCCCCTCTTTAGTTTTTCACTTGCTGGGCCCAGAGTAAAATGCTTTGGTGAGCACAAACTAGAGGGGAACAGGCAACACCAGTGTGATTTTGGTGAAATTGTGACTATCCTGGACAAAGATATAGGGGGGCTTCCAAATCCAGCAGCTACAACACCTGGTCTGCCGGATTTGGAAGCCCCTCTTTAGTTTTTGACCTGCTGGGCCCAGAGTAAAATGCTTTTGTGAGCACACACTAGAGAGGAACAGCAAACACCAGTGTGATTTTGGTGACAGTGTGACTGTCCTGGACAAAGTTGTAGGGGGGGTGCCATATCTGGCAGCACCTGGTCTGCCGGATTTGGAAGCCCCTCTTTAGTTTTTCACCTGCTGGGCCCAGAGTAAAATGCTTTTGCAAGCACAAACTAGAGGGGAGCAGCAAACACCAGTGTGATTTGGGTGAGTCTATGACCATCCTGGACAAAATGATAGGGGGGGTTCCAAATCTGGCAGGAGAAATACCTGCTCTGCTGAACATGTTATGGAGAGAACAGTGCAGATCTTCCCTATTGACACCGGGATTAACCTAGTCTAAAATAAGGAACATTAATAGTGTGATATAGGCACAGATATAAGATCAATAATACACTTTATTTTAGGGCACATTTCAAAGCATTCAATGTCACCTTAAAATACACTAAAAAATCAAATATGAGTGGCATTACAATACAAACATGTGTTGAGTAGGAAACCACAGAGGAACATTACATTCAAAGGAGCAATTAAAGCGAGTGAAGCCAGTTTGAACACATTATCTTTTAGGATTGATAGAAAATAACACAGTGTCTGACATATGTTATATAATTACTGTTATATCATTGCTTACTATTCGTGGTTATCAGACACTTAAACAACAGAGAAGGTTTTAAAAAATAGGACTATACTGACAAATGACATATTATCCTGTCTGTTCTGTAGGAAGGAGGAACATAACAGAGTGGACTCAAAAACGGAAGTTTGTTCCAATACGAAGATTGTGACAGATCTGAAAAGTGTCCTTAAAACGAGCCTCCACGCAATTGTATGCACATTATTTATTCAGCCGTTTGCTGTTTAATCTGATGGGAAATATATCATTCAAAAGAGAGAAAGTAAATAGTATCTTTCGTTTTTCCGCTTAGAAAACTAGGCAAACGCTCAATACAGGCGATGACGTCACTTTGCTCATCCCCGCGAACAGGGCTTCAATCTACGGCAAGGCTTCAATCTACGGCATAACACCGGTATGAAAGGGTCTGTGCTGGAAATATCAAGATAACACGGCAGGGTCCGTTACAGTTTGTTTTCATCTGATTTCAAATAAACAAAGTCTTGGCTTTCAGAATATTAAAGTTGTTTCGGCAAATTTAGATGATAAATACAACTATGAAGCTTGTAACGGCATAATTACTTAAGCGGAGAACGGAGTAAGTTAACGTTACAGCAGGCATAACAACAGCCGGTGTTTATTTTATTATTATATATAGTCGTTATTCATTTGTTTTAAAGCTCAATAAGGAAGATTTAAACTTTCACACATGTTGACCGGCGAAAAACTCTGCCCGGTTCACCTACCCCCCTCTGACTGAATACCTGTTAACTTCACATCTTGTCACAAACCTTTTGTAAGAAAAGACTGACCCAAGATATCTTGGTTTGATTTGGAGAAGGCTTTTAAAGCCTATTGTATACTAACTCTTCCCGTCAAGAATATGAATAGAACTTAGATAGATCACTTTACATTTCTGCGAATGAATAGCTAAAAATATGTATTTCTTAATAAACTAAATAGGCCACCATTGGTAGCAGTTCTCATTATATACTTCTCAGTAACTGCTCCCCTTAAATTAAATGTATTCTGTAGATGTTGGGGATTCATTAATGCATTTATTGCCATCACCATGCTTTTTCAAGACTCTTTTAAATTCTATCATTTTATAAGGACTTTTCAATGTTCGACATCGCGTGAAACAGAGGATTTCGACATTCTGTATTCCTTGCTTACTTCCTTAAACCTTTTCTCCTCCTTATCTCTTTCATGACTTTTTATTTAATGCCGGTGTTTATTTTATTATTATATATAGTCGTTATTCATTTGTTTTGAAGCTCAATAAGGAAGATTTAAACTTTCACACACGTTGACCGGCAAAAAACTCTGCCCGGTTCCTTCGGCCCCCACCACGTTGAATAAACAGAAGGCTGCTTCTGTGGAGGAAGTTACAGCGCTACGTACGCACATTTAGCTTTCAGTGTTACTGACCTGAGATGTTTTTATTACATGAATTAATTACATTGACCATACCGTTCACCATCCCCCACCCCCCTACTGTATGTTGATTTTTGACATGTAAATGGGTACCTACCCCCCTCTGAGTGAATACCTGTTGTACCTGTCCGGGGCTAAGCCCATAGGACGATGCTCTGATGTCATCACCCTCGCACATTTGTCATATGTTTACAAAAAACGATGTTAACACTTTCTCGTTCTTAATATATGCTATATTTAGGGTCGATATGTGTTGAATTTACTTTAAAATAGCAGATCACTGTGATTCGGCTTAGTGAACGTGTGTCTCTTCCTCCGCGGCTCCTCCGTGCAGAGAGGCCCCCCCCCCCGTTGACAATTCATGAGCATCTAACTCTCTCCCCCCTCCCCCGTCGCACCTTCTAACAGAGCCCCCCCACATATAAAATCCCAATTTAACCCCTGGCCTCTGGAGCAGAAATGAAAGAGTTTTAAAAATGTTTACGTTTTGGTAAGTTTTTAGGGAAATGTTGTAATATTGCAACGTTGGCCTTAGGTGGGAGCAGAATTTCTGTATTTCTACTCACATTGTCTGAATAAATATATTGAACAACTAAGGGTTCATTTGCAGGATTGATTGCTTACTTAGCCCTATATCAGTATATAGCATGAATAATAATCACACATCACTCATATTTGTTATGAATAATCATTTATCATTTATTAAATAGTAAGTCGCTTTGGATAAAAGTATCAGCTAAATGCAATTTATAAAAGCCTCACTCAGGATTTTGTTACCAAGTGTTTTTATTGCTCTTGGGGCATTAAAAACAAGATTTTAACTTTAGTTTTTTATATAATATCTGCATTTTCTCTTGTGAAAAACTAAGTCTTAGTTTGGCCATAGTTATTTAATATATAGCGCCATCTCCTGGTTAAATCCTGAAATTGAAAATCTGGCAACGCCCTCTTGGAAAATAGTGGGAGGGCTTAACATTCCCAGATACTGGTCTTTGGCAGGTCTTAGGCAGGTAACTGGCTGGTAGTAGGCAGGAAGCTGTATGCTGGAGTCTGAAATAAGATGCTCCATCTGTACATACTGCCCCTAGGTTCAATTCTCACAAAACACAATATTCCCTTCCACTGCTACGCCGACGATGTACAGATATATCTGCCTCTCAAAGCAAATGTCAAACACTCACTACAGCAGTTGATGGACTGCTTAACAGAGATAAAATCCTGGCTGAGAAAAAACGTTCTCAACCTCAACGAGATCAAGACTGAGGTCATCTTATTTGGACCCCAACCTCCAGCCTCTCCGGTTGATATTCTGGGCTCTCTCAATAAAAACATCCTCCCCTCTGTCATGAACCTTGGAGTGACCTTCACTAGCACTTTTAAATTCGACAAGCAGGTCAGCACCGTAGTCAAATCCTGCTTTTTTAAGATAAGACTATTGGCCAAAACCAAGTCGTATTTATCTTTTAAAGACTTAGAAAGGGTTATTAACGCCTTTGTAACCTCGAGACTGGACTATTGCAACGCTCTGTATGTGGGTATGTACCAGGCCTCAATCAAACGCTTACAGCTAGTCCAAAACGCTGCTGCACGTTTGCTGACTGGCCACAAAAAGCGTGACCACATCACCCCAATTCTGGCCTCACTACACTGGCTTCCAGTTCGGTTCCGAATTGATTTTAAAATCCTTTTATTTGTTTTTAAAGCACTAAATGGGCTGGCTCCGGCCTATATAGCTGAACTCCTCCAGCGCTACACCCCAGCCAGAGCATTAAGGTCTGCTGACCAGCTGCTGCTGGTAGTGCCCAAGACTAGGCTTAAAACCTGAGGGCACCGAGCCTTCGCAGCAGCTGGCCCTAGGCTCTGGAACACTCTGCCCCTCCATGTGAGGTCGGCCCAGACCCTAGGGGTTTTTAAATCTACTCTTAAGACACACTTCTTCTCCCTGGCCTTCTAGTCAGAGCGGAGCACGACTCCTGACTTTTCCCTGTGTTTTTTATATATCTGTTGTAATTTATTGTCTTTTATTGTGATTGTAGTAATGTGTTTTTATTACATGTACAGCACTTTGGCTCGACCAAAAATCGCTTTTAAATGTGCTTTATAAATAAAACTTGATTTGATTTGATTTGATTTGAAAATGACCTACCCCACCTTTAACCAGTGGGGTATTCACTGACGTATTTTATGTCATAGAACAAAAAGTGTTAACCACACATCTTAATTCAGGCTAATAACCAAAAACACATTCAAAAAACTTCCAGACCAGGGAACAGGAAGTGGTAAAATGCTAACTTATTTGCGGGTTTTAGGACTGAATCATGCAAACTCTATGCGGTTGTGACTCTAACTGTCCATTACCAAAAGCATATTTCAGTCTCTCTCGAGCCTTGACTTGACAGACGTCAATGCTCATGTAATGCTCTTGTCCTATTTACCCCCTGTGGTCTCGAAAGTCTTCTAATGCAGTTTTTATCAGTCCTTTTGTCTTCTTGATGAAACCTGATGGCTTCCTCTCAGATGTGATGGAGCCCTAACAGGATGAATCATGTGACTCTTTTATCTTTGTCCAAACACCATTGTTTATTCAACTACATATTGTGTTGCATGATATTTTTATGGTGGATAACTCAATGGTTGACTTTCTCTGACCTCTGACAGGAAACCTGTTGCCGGGAGACCAGATCTTGGAAGTGAACGGGGACAGTCTTGTAGGAGTCACAAATGACAGGTAGTCCAGTGAAAACGTTCCTTTAACCACATGATTGAGAGGTGACGCTGTAACAATGTGTTTCTGTTTCACAGAGCTGTGGACGTCTTGAGAGCAGCCTCCGCAACCAATCACATGCGCCTTCTCATAGCCAGAGACGAGGAAGCAAAGTAAGAAATGTCTATGTATTTGATACAGAACATTCATAGAATGTCAGGGACATAATTGTAGAAGATAAGATCTGTGGCAAACACACGTTTATGATACTTACACGTTTTAGTCTCCACATATTGACACACATTTTCTTTTGTTTTTAAGCCTTAAAAACGTAAGTTAATCTAAACCTGATTTTAAGAAAAGGGAAGCGGAAGTGGTAAAATGTAATTTCATTTCTAGGTTTAAGGACTCATTCCTTAAACAATTCCTGCACCACTCTATTGTGGTGACAGGTCTCCCTTGTAAAAGAGATCGATGATCTCAATGGGACCACCTGGTTAAATAAAGGTTGAAAAATGGTGGCACACTGGTTCTCAGACTGCTCCATCCATGCTGTGATTCATTTTTTCCAACCTACATTACTGAATGTCGAGGAAACAGATCTTTCTCTGGTCCTCTTACACTAAGGCTTACAGATGAATGAATGTTACTCACATAAAGAAGCAAACGCATCTGCTCAATAACCTATGCAACAAATGGGTTGAACAGTAATCTTGATATGGCAACACATGACTGATGGAAGGTCGGTCGTATTAGTGCTCAACCAGCTTTCTAATCTGACCGCAGCCAGTTTTGGTGAAAACAAGATCAGTGCCAGCTGTCAGCCCCACAGGCACCCCCCCTCCCCTTAAACACATTCCAGACAACATCTTCCTTAATTGTAAGTCGTGCATTTTGATATTGAAATGAGAAAGGTTTGGCACGTCTCAGTCATGATATTTCCTAAAAATTATGTTTTTTCTGCCTGTAAGCGTAATCCTCAGAGTAGAGACTCACTGCTCATAGGATTTGCACCTTAGCTTTCACAGATGCCAGACTTTAGAAGTGCACAGTGGAAACCCCACCAGCAGCAGACTGATTCATTGTAAAGATCCCAGTTGGAATATGTCGAACTGCAGGAATGGTGATGACAAGGGACATCCTAAGGTTTATAAATGATGAAAAAGGGAATGTAGTGATGGATTCTCACAGTGGTGGTGAGCCCCCCCCCCCCCCCCGTCTTTGTGGAGGAATGACAGCAGACTCAGAGAGGGGAGAGAGCTTAACCTAGGGCTGTTCTCCTGATGAGATGAGGCTTGTGTGTTAATCTGTGCTCGCTGCTTTAACTACCCTTCAGAGCAGAGGATCGAGGGGGGGGGGATTATGCCCGTCTGTGTCTGCGTCTCCCTCAGATTTACTCTACTTCTTTTAAAAATAACTTCAAACTAGCTACATGCGCACCAGCTGTGATACTAAATAATTACTATTGTCATTACCCCGATAAATATGACTCCTTGATATTAGCTTCAACAAGCTAAGCACAAAAAAAGCAGATGGAATGGCTTGTGTAGTTTGAAAAATGAATCAACCAATGGTGTGAGTGTTGCCAGGTGAACAACAGTTTAAATATGCATATCTACATGCCTACGTTTCATTTCTATCTTCAATAATGACACTGATTATTTATCGTTTACGCTTCGAAGTTTAAATATGTATGTGGTTTAGAATCAAATATGTTACCTGTACTCACATATTAGGGTGCATGGTGCATCCTACACTGAAAATACTGAAACGTTGACTTTAATTAAATGTATTACATTTCACATTACTGCATTAGGTTAGTTAAAGGCAATAATATTAAATTGAACCTAATATTATTTATTTAAACTTAAAAGTATTGCTTTCAACTAACCTAATACAGTGATGTGAAATCTGTTGACATAATATATTTAATTAAAGTCAACGTTTCACTTTTTTCCATGTTTGTATTGTATACAGTGTAATGAACACTACATTAGGGCTCGGTAAACTCATGTATTGTAAATCAGGACAGTTCTTTGTCAGATTCATTTCAGGCTCATTGGATAGGGGATTTGATTTGATTTCTCAAATGTGGGAGCGACTTGGGGAGAACGATTCTCTGGAGAACCACAGCAGCTGTAGAGACCATCACCACGTTCAAGACCTCCAGATCATGATTCTGCTCTGCTAGCCGCAGCAACACTCTACAGCACTAACAGACTAATTGAATAGAACCATGATATCACCCCTAAGTGCAAGATTAGAAAGATGAAAAGACGTATCTCAGGAGGAGAATGATTACAAGAATAAGGGACCTGTTAGCCAGTGATCTGTGCTGCTGTCGTCTTTCTCAGCCGTGCAGGAACCATTTGTTTCTTTATTTACCATGGAGGGATATTACAGCTTATCATAATCTGTTTACTGTAGATATGGCACATTTCAGTCATCCTCAGGAGATTCAATTGTTGTGATGTCAAAAAAGTTACAATGAATTCCACAGTTTTTATAATAACTATGTAAAAAAAAGCTATTTCAATATTGTAGGTATTATGCAAAATAAATGATTATTCTTTTTAATAGCTGACCCTATAATATATGTAACCACTCTATTGATTGTATGATTATTATCAGTGGCGGCTGGTGGAATGTTTTCTAGGTAGGGCTGTGCCACATGCAATCAATTTCAGCAAACATCCAAGTATGACTTAATGCAACAAAAACAGGAGTTTTCAGTGTTAATTTACCAGTCTTACATTTGAATGCCTCCATAAACAATTTAAGCATTTGAGACTGAGGACTATGTACAGAAACTTTTATTATAATGTGAAATAACTCACTATACATCAGTAACTAGATTTCATTGATAAGTATCATATCACTGATAGTTCTGGTTCCGTCACTGTTAGTTAAAGGTCACCTATTGTGCAAAATCCACTTCTTCATGTCTCTTCTACATCAACATGTGTCCCCTCTTCTTCATGTCTCTTCTACATCAACATGTGTCCCCTCTGTGGAAAGAGACTCTGAAAGTTTCAGGAACAAAGATTCTCTCTCTTTTCGTCCGGATCCATTTCTATAAAAACCTGTCTGAAAATGAGCTGATCAGATTTTGGCCACTTTATGATGTCATAACGATTTTTTGGCTTGTGTAACCATTAGCCAATCAGCAACCAAGGTAACCCCCCCCCCCCCCACCTTATCACCTGAATCTCCCCCTAGAGCACCATTGTGTTCTGTTTGACCAAATCTCTCTCAGAGGGGCGTGGGGAGGGGCTCCTTATTTTCATCTAAAGTAAAAGAAACAGAGGGGATTATGGGATGCTACAATGCACCATCTGTTTGGTATTTTGAGCAGAACATTTCAGAGACATGTTTGTATATATCTGAGACCTATAATATATTGATGAAAAATAGTATAATAGGGGACCTTTAATAAAGAATGACAAAAGCCTATCCCAGTGACGTTCTCTTTGGTTTCTCTGAACAGGAGAGAGTTCGCTGAGCTGCTGGAGAAGTATGGCTCTAATGGAAGCACAGGATCAACACGCAACTCCCCCATACAGCAAGGTAGGAGACCCCTGTTCAGCCCTCTGTACCATAGTTGAAAGCAAAACTATTAAGTTAAACCTAGTATTTTTTATTTAAACGTAATATTATTGATTTCAACTTACCTAAAACAGTTATGTGAAATCTGCTGACATTATTCAAGTCAACGTTTCAGTTTTTCAGCGTATGTGGAATTATAGTTCTGTGTTCACACTAATGCCTAAATGGCATCATCATATAGTTCTAAAAAAACATTTCTATTTTTGACCAAGTACTAGGCCTAGAGGGCAGATGAAGCAAGTCTGCCTTTAAAAATGGCTTGTGACAAGTGCACTTCCATTACACAACCACCAACATCTGTTTGAGGCGGCAGGAGGCAGCCAGCTGCTGCAGCTTTGTTAACACACGGCTTCAGCACAGAGCCCTCTTTAGACTGTGAGTCGACCAATCAGGGTTCATCTATGGATCAGATCCCATTTCAAGTGTATGGTAGAACACCAAACATAGTGACTGTGGTTGACTCAAAGGCACAGTCACAGATGACCTGGTGAGATAATGTTGATAATTAGTGTGTAAGACATGTTGTCCGACCAGGGGAGTCAAAAGGGTTCTTTGTGTTTCAGCCACGCTGACATGTCAGAAATTCCCCCAGACGTCCGAGGGCCGGTCAGGAGGAGCTGATGGGGCCGGCTCTCGCCCCCCCCTGTACTCTGCAGCACGGCACATGGCGACGGACCAAGCTGAAATTCAGTCCGACCCTAAAACCAATCATGCGGCTCAAGAACCTGGTCAGAAACAGGCTCAAACTGTAGTGTCTGCTAGCTCAGTCCTCCATGTAGTACTTTGGGGGGGCAGTAGTTCAGTCCTCCATCTAGTGCTTTGGGGGGGCAGTAGTTCAGTCCTCCATCTAGTGCTTTGGGGGGGCAGTAGTTCAGTCCTCCATGTAGTGCTTTGGGGGGGCAGTAGTTCAGTCCCTCCATGTAGTGCTTTGGGGGGGGGGGGGCAGTAGTTCAGTCCTCCATGTAGTGCTTTGGGGGGGGCAGTAGTTCAGTCCTCCATCTAGTGCTTTGGGGGGGCAGTAGTTCAGTCCTCCATCTAGTGCTTTCGGGGGGGGGGCAGTAGTTCAGTCCTCCATGTAGTGCTTTGGGGGGGCAGTAGTTCAGTCCTCCATCTAGTGCTTTGGGGGGGCAGTAGTTCAGTCCTCCATCTAGTGCTTTGGGGGGGCAGTAGTTCAGTCCTCCATGTAGTGCTTTGAGGGGGCAGTAGTTCAGTCCCTCCATGTAGTGCTTTGGGGGGGCAGTAGTTCAGTCCCTCCATGTAGTGCTTTGGGGGGGCAGTAGTTCAGTCCTCCATGTAGTGCTTTGGGGGGGCAGTAGTTCAGTCCTCCATGTAGTGCTTTGGGGGGTCAGTAGTTCAGTCCTCCATGTAGTGCTTTGGGGGGGCAGTAGTTCAGTCCTCCATGTAGTGCTTTGGGGGGGCAGTAGTTCAGTCCTCCATGTAGTGCTTTGGGGGGGCAGTAGTTCAGTCCTCCATGTAGTGCTTTGGGGGGGCAGTAGTTCAGTCCTCCATGTAGTGCTTTGGGGGGGCAGTAGTTCAGTCCTCCATGTAGTGCTTTGGGGGGGCAGTAGTTCAGTCCTCCATGTAGTGCTTTGGGGGGGCAGTAGTTCAGTCCTCCATGTACTGCTTTGGGGGGGCAGTAGTTCAGTCCTCCATGTACTGCTTTGGGGGGGCAGTAGTTCAGTCCCTCTACTACTTTGTACATATGTAAACACATGATATGATGCATTACTGTCACTCTCAGTATTTTAAAACATATCTAAAATGTGCCACACATTAAAAAAACTACACAATTAAAATGATTTGAAGAAAATAGCATTTCTGCATACTGAGTACTTTATCTTTTGATTCACAAAGTACTTTTTACTGAAGTAGCTAGTAGCTTCCCACTGCTCCTTATACCAGGATGTTCAATTCAGAGTCTAAATCTCCCAGTGTGTGCAGTAGTGCTTTTTCCATGTGTGATGATACATCTGATAAATCCATGCTTTGCTTCATACTGTTTTACTGCCTAGAAGCAAGAGCTCTGTGTGTTCTCTAAGGATCCATGACATCTTGTTTACTACTGAGTTTCAGCATGAATCACCTCCCATAATGAAACATACCTTTGAATCTCAGCACAGGGAATGTTTACCCCAGGCAGTGGACCAACATTAACCATTCTGTGGTATATTCTGCTGTCGGCAGTGGCTTGGTCAGCATGTGTGGAGAGCCTCATTGAGCGTGCTGATATCTGACACAGCAACCAAAATATTGAAGAGTAGTTCAGAGCATGTTGTCTGCTATCTGCAAATAGTGTTATCCATACTTTTATAACCTTATAGAACACATATCCAGACCAAGACCATTATGTTGCTTACAATCCATCATCTAAATTATTATGTGTCCAATAAGTAATACATAATTATTGAGATAGATATTTAAAGCCATCTTTTTTATTACTTTGACAATTGTAGTTGTTCAGCACCCTGCAGAGCACAGGTTGAAGGACAAAAACTCACTCACTATTTTCTCTGTGTTCTCTGCATTTCCAAAGGAGGCCGCTACCTGGAGAGCACTTCCTCTGGCTCCTCGTCTCGCTCCCAGAGTCCTTTGCTGCTGAGCCCAGCTGGCACTCAGAACATGTACAACAGCAGCGGGCCCATGTTGCGCTCCCTCAGGTACCGTCAGTCTGTAGCACCCACACACACCTGTACAGAATCCACACACACCTGTACAGCACCCACACACACCCGTACAGCCTCCACACACACCTGTACATCCTCCACACATACCTGTACAGCATCCACACACACCTGTACAGCCTCCACACACACCTGTACATCCTCCACACAGACCTGTACAGCATCCACACACACCTGTACAGCCTCCACACACATCTGTACAGCACACACACACCTGTACAGCACCCACACACACCTGTACAGCCTCCACACACACCTGTACAGCCTCCACCCACACCTGTACAGCCTCCACACACACCTGTACAGCCTCCACACCTGTACAGCCTCCACACACATCTGTACAGCCTCCACACCTGTACAGCCTCCACACACATCTGTACAGCCTCCACACACACCTGTACAGCCTCCACACACACCTGTACAGCCTCCACACCTGTACAGCCTCCACACACACCTGTACAGCCTCCACACCTGTACAGCCTCCACACAGACCTGTACAGCCTCCACACCTGTACAGCCTCCACATCTGTACAGCCTCCACACACATCTGTACAGCCTCCACACCTGTACAGCCTCCACACACATCTGTACAGCCTCCACACACACCTGTACAGCCTCCACACACACCTGTACAGCCTCCACACACATCTGTACAGCCTCCACACCTGTACAGCCTCCACACACACCTGTACAGCCTCCACACCTGTACAGCCTCCACATCTGTACAGCCTCCACACACATCTGTACAGCCTCCACACCTGTACAGCCTCCACACACATCTGTACAGCCTCCACACACACCTGTACAGCTTCCACACACACCTGTACAGCCTCCACACACACCTGTACAGCCTCCACACACATCTGTACAGCCTCCACACACACCTGTACAGCCTCCACACACATCTGTACAGCCTCCACACACATCTGTACAGCCTCCACACACACCTGTACAGCCTCCACACACACCTGTACAGCCTCCACACACATCTGTACAGCCTCCACACCTGTACAGCCTCCACACACACCTGTACAGCCTCCACACCTGTACAGCCTCCACACACATCTGTACAGCCTCCACACCTGTACAGCCTCCACACACATCTGTACAGCCTCCACACACACCTGTACAGCCTCCACACACACCTGTACAGCCTCCACACACATCTGTACAGCCTCCACACACACCTGTACAGCCTCCACACACATCTGTACAGCCTCCACCCACACCTGTACATCCTCCACACAGACCTGTACAGCATCCACACACACCTGTACAGCCTCCACACACACCTGTACATCCTCCACACAGACCTGTACAGCCTCCACACACATCTGTACAGCCTCCACACCTGTACAGCCTCCACACACATCTGTACAGCACACACACACCTGTACAGCACCCACACACACCTGTACAGCCTCCACACACACCTGTACAGCCTCCACCCACACCTGTACAGCCTCCACACACATCTGTACAGCCTCCACACCTGTACAGCCTCCACACACATCTGTACAGCCTCCACACCTGTACAGCCTCCACACACATCTGTACAGCCTCCACACACACCTGTACAGCCTCCACACACACCTGTACAGCCTCCACACACATCTGTACAGCCTCCACACCTGTACAGCCTCCACACACATCTGTACAGCCTCCACACACACCTGTACAGCCTCCACACCTGTACAGCCTCCACACACATCTGTACAGCCTCCACACACACCTGTACAGCCTCCACACACACCTGTACAGCCTCCACACACATCTGTACAGCCTCCACCCACACCTGTACAGCCTCCACACACACCTGTACAGCCTCCACACACACCTGTACAGCCTCCACACACACCTGTACAGCCTCCACACACACCTGTACAGCCTCCACACACACCTGTACAGCCTCCACACACACCTGCACAGCCTCCACCCACACCTGTTCAGTGCGGTAATGTAACTCAGAACATTTATTCTAGTTCTCTACTTAAGTAAAACATGTAGGTACTTGTTCTTTACTTGAGTGTTTTTACATTATGCTACTTTATACTTTTACTCCACTACATGTTTTTTTTTACATATTTAGTTTGTAGTTACTTTGCAGATTTAGGAGATTAGTACAAAATATAAATCAACACAAATGATATTTTATTAGTATGGGATGAACACATTAATGCACCAATCATTTTTATACAATTATTTAAAAATATCTGGATGCTTAAAATGGCCATTTTGTGTAACAAGTTATTTTATTGTTGGTACTATTTATTGCTAGCACTTTTTTACTTTTTGTACTTTTTACTACACTGTAGTATTGCTATTTTGACTTAAAGGTGGGGTGGGTAATTTTGGAGAAACCGGCTCGAGATCGCTAGAATTTGAAAATACACAACCGGAAAAAATCTGCCACTTCCTTACAGAGCCCCTCCTCCAACACACACGAACGCGCACATGACCAATGAGGGCATGAGATAAGTTTGTGCACAGATGGAAGGCTGACAGGCAGGTAGGCCATCCAGTTATTTTAGCCGGGCCGGCTAAAATGATTGGTCGTGCTTTTTACAGTACTACGGCTTCCACTGATGACATTTTTTTATGGATTTATTATCAAAGCATTTAATGTATTCATTGCTATCGGGATGTTAAGAGCATTCCATGGAATATAACAAGTGTTTCTGAAGTGAATTACCTACCCCACCTTTAAGTCATGAATCACTCTGTCCATGTGTCACCCAGTCATCCAGGTGAAGGAGTGATCCAGCTCATCTCAGTGGCGCGATCCAGCAGTTTGGGCATCACCATCGGGGGAGGCTCCAACAAACCTGACGGCCCCGCAGTCTTCATCCAGGAGGTGCTGTCGGGGGGAGACTGTCACCGGGTGAGAGAGGGAATCAAACCCTCAACTGCAGATGTTGAGAGGGAACATGGAAGGTGTAACCAAGGGAACTATATTGCTCAGAGCCATACTAACATCAGTGATGTAAAGTAACTTAGTACATGTACTCAAGTACTGCACTTAAGTACTTTTTTGACATATTTTTACTTTAATTAAGTATTTCCATTTAATGCTACTTTATACTTCTATTTCCTACATTTCAGAGTTGCATATCGTACTTATTACTCCACTACATTTATTTGTATAACTCTCACTTACTAGTTACTTTGTACATAATTACACATACAGTATATGCTGATATAGTACAGTGCAGTACCGCACTACTAATCTACACAGTATCTGAATTTTGGTCCACATTGAGCAAAAACAATTATTACTGACATACAACTAAAATGTTCTTAGATGTATAAAAACAAATTTATAACCAAAATGAACCATAAAATACTGTGAAAATATCCATTCTGCAAGTACTGTCACTGTTGATTCTTGAAGTACATTTAGCGGATCATACTTCTGTTCTTCATATTATTCTGAAACGGGTCAGGATACAGAATGAGTACTTTTACTTTTTGTACTTTAAGTATATTTTGATGCTATTAGTTTTGTACTTTCACTTAAAGTGGACCTATCATGCTATATTTAAATGATATATTGTAGGGCCATACCTATATAAGGAATATTTATACGTTTCTGTTTTCAAAATACCAAACAGATCATGCATTTTAGCCATGCATTTTCGCTCTATGTGCTGTTTGCTGTCTACGGGTCTGATTCTGCTGACCACGCCCCCCTGCAGGAGAGGGGAGACGTGCTCTGATCAGCTGCTGGGCTGTCAGAAGAGGGGGAGAAAAAGAGATCTCCGTCCTCCGTGTTTTATTATATAGAGTCGTTATTCATTTGTTTTAAAGCTCAATAAATAACAAAGAAGACCTTTGACCGGCACTTTTCTAATTTTGTCCGGAAGATTTAAACTTTAACGGACATCTTGACCGGCGAAAGAAACTGAAACTGAAACTCTGCCGCACGGTCCCCTCGTTCCTTGGAAGAGGCGGAGAGGTGGGTGTTTGTCATCTGCTGGTGGACTAACCGGAGAGAATTACAGTGCTTGCCTCGACGGGGAGGGATTGCATTGAATTAAAGCAGCGGGAGCAAACGCTTGCCTCGGGGAGGGAGAAAAAAAGCCACAGCGGAGAATAAACAGAAGGGTAACCATGGTAACTATGGGCGGGAAGTCTTCTTCGCTGCTTTTGTGGCAGACTACAGCGCCACTTACAGGCCTGGCATATGTACTACAGCGTCTCCAGCGCTTTCGAGCGGCAATGGCCGGCCGTGGCCCAACCCCACATTCCCCTGATAGGTGGAGAGTTGGCCCAATAGCCGTAGCGCCACTTCTGTGACGTCAGGACAGTGTTCAAATCTGGATCAGTCTGCATCAGATCCGTTGCAGCCCCTTTTTTAGAGATTTGGGTATGGAGGAAAATAGAGAGGGTTGTGTTTTCTGACACTTGGTGAGTTCCCTGGAACACCGGGGACACATATTCATGTAGAAAAGACGTACAAAAGTGCATTTTGCATGATAGGTCCCCTTTAAGTAGCATTTCAAAACTACGGCTTTTACATGTGGTGGAGTATTTTAAGACCATAGTATTGGTACTTTTACTTAAGTAAAGGATCTGAGTACTTCTTCCAACATTGATAGTATCTACACTTTATCATTAGCAAACGCCTTCTTACTTACCCAATAATAAGACATGTTCACACTGATCACGTTGATCCCAACGTCTGACTGAAATGTCCTTGATTTTGTCCAAGGCAGCCGCCACATTCCAATTGGATGAAGTGCATGAGGATTGTAGGTCTTACATTAGATACACAAATTCCCCTACAATATGGTAACAACAGAATAAATCATACTGTTATTTGACTTCAGTGTCTCCCATGAGCCCAGACTGGAGGACTACGACGATAAGAACTGAGTGAGATGGATTCAGTGCAGCAGTGAGGGACTGCTTGTAGGGAAATTAAGTAATGAAGATGGAGGAAGGAAGAGGAGGGACACAGGTGGAGCAGGAAGTAAAGAGTGCATGTTTGGGCGTAGGCCTTAGATTAGCATAAGATACTGTACTGCTGAGTCATGCCTCGGGTTAAAGGCTGTTTCTGTGACTAGCTGTACAGAACAGACATGACATCCTCTGTCATCTCCACCATAGTGGACACAGTTATACAGCGTGGGGACCATCCTGCACACTTACTGAACTCAAACACACCTTAACATGTACAGATATATGATTAGACGACCTACTGGCCAAGACATTAAACACGTTTCCTAAACTGACGCTTTAGTTTTGCAACTGACTAGTTTTAGTCTTATTACTTAAGTTAAAATGTAAATGTGAAAGTAACTGAAAGTAACAAAAACTGAAAGGAATGCAGTCAAATTAGATATAAGTCAGTCAGTCGTGATAAATGACAGGCCAGTGGGAAGTCAAAGCAGATTATACACTACTGAAGTGAGGAGAGACGTTGTTACTGCTGCAGCGTCTGCATCAGAGCATGGGCCTGTTGTGTTTGTCATCAACACATACATTGAATGACAAACATATTAAATACAGAGAGCAATTTGAACAAAATAAGTATAATCCTAAATCTCTGAAAGATAATCAAGAAGTATCATCGTTTTAATGCTGGTAAACATGTATCATACACACAGCACATACAGCACCCAGGGGTGCTTACATCATTGTCTAAACATACAGTGCATTCATAATGAATCCTCTGTGTTGCCATTTTGAAATCTCTGTTGCATCATTTTGAAATGAACAGTGCTAGATGTACTACACTACATGCTAAGCAATGCAGGTTGGTTTCTTTTTAGAAAACTTGAGCAGTTGGTGCATTTTCTCATGATAAGGGAGATGGTCTTCGAGGTCCCAATCCGGGCAGCTGGACCCTTCAATGAGCACAGCTTCCATTGATACTACTGTAGATGAGATCAGAACAGAGTATAACAGTCTGCATCCAACCACCATGTGCAAAGAGTAGACAAGAGCATGAGGTTTAAATAAATTCACATAGCAAACAATGTTGTAGTAATGTACTTACATGATGATGGTGCAGCCAAAAGTTCTTCTGAAAATGAGCAGGCAGGGGGGGCTTTCTTGATCAGGCGTTGTTGTGCCGTTTAACAAGGCTGGAGGTGTTGAAAGACCAGGAGAGATCATCAGAGATGTTGATGCCGAGGAATTTGAAGGTGGAGACACGTTCTACCTCACAGGGACAGCACATGCCTTGAGCACACCATGATATGCCATCTGGGCCACCAGCCTTCAGCGTTCACCCTGCTTAGTGCAGATTGAACAGCATGGTCTGATGTTCTGTTCTTTTGGTGGGGGGGTTGCTTTGATGGCTGATGTTTTATTGTTCCAATCACAACGAGCATACAAGTTGTTGAGCATGTCTGGAAATGAGTTATCAGTGGTAAATATATAATTATGCAAAAAACATCAAAGTGCCCTTTGCCAAAACTGTTCCTTTGTTTTTCCCTAAAACACATGATTCTTTGTGGTCTTATGTCCCCTTGACTAAAGACAGTACCCATGAGGTGACAGACATAACAATCCTGTTCATTCATTGAATCCTCTTGAAGGAATTCATGCTGGACTAAAGAATGTGAAACACTGCCTGTCTCAGTGTCACTGCCGCTCTGTGAGAGGAGTCCCAGGACAGATACTGGACACCAGTGTGAGGTCAGCCAGGACTCTGGGGACATCAGCCTGTCCTCCACACAGTGCACTGCTGCAAGCATGTGAGGGAGGAGGTGAGGAGAACAAGTGAATGTTCCATCTATGCTGACAGGAAGCTGCTGTTGATGGTGATGGAGGAGCTCTGTGTGGCTGCAGAGTCTCAGGAAACTAAGGGAACACACTCATTTGTGCAGGACAGTCAAAATACACTGCAGCCTCTCATCTGCTGGAGGGTAGAGATCCACAGAGAGGTGAACATGAAGGCTTCATCAGCACACTCCAGCTGTACCATAAATGAACCGTGAGATCAGTTAACTGTTCAGCTGATAAATGATGAATCCAGTTACTGCAACGTTAACTTTGTTGTTGTTATTATTTTGGCTGTCATTCATTGAGCATAGTGCTAGTTCTGGTGGAGCGCAGTCTCTGTTGCATTGGCTGATCGGCATTAGCCTTTTCATTTACACGTCATCATGGCTCATTCATATTGAAATACTACTAATCCTAAACATGCAGTGGCAAAGTCTGAATGCTCGTCAGCTGCTGGGCTGCCAGCAGATTAGAAATGTGCGATCATGCTCTGACTGACTCTGCAGACGTGCAGGGTCACCCTCCACCATATCGGGGTCTTTGGAGTCAGTTGGTCAGGTCTGCATTCCTCCAAATGTAATGCTCTGATGTGAATGTTGAACTTTTCGACATATGTTTCTCCCCTAAACCATCAGTTTCTTCAATCTGTGGGGGTCTTTACATTAAATCCTGATTCGATGTTGAATTAGAGCCAACAATCCCAACTATAGGTGGACTCGCAGCACCCCTCCCCCCACTCAATTTGCACATACAGCTTCCTTCTCTCTTTCTCTCCGGCTTCCTCAGCTTCTCCCTTCCCAATCCCATCCTCCTCGCCTCTGTGCGCCCACTCTCCGTCAGCTGTGGCAACATGACAAGAGAACACTGGAACATCACTGCTGTTTGTATTCTGGAAGAAAGCTGTTTCCAAGCAGATGTTGCTTCTTGTACCCTGCAAGATTTTCAATCCTTTTTATTCAAGATGCCAGGGAGTAAATCAAAGAAAGCGCCTCAGAGCTAACAAGATATCCCATGATCCCTGTGGACAGTACTTTGAGCACTGGTTTGTACCTTTTGGTGCAAGATTTAAAAATACTTTTATATGATTATGAATTATGAATGAATTTTGGCCTTAGCTGTTCTATTTGTATATATTTATTTTCATTTTAGGTTGCATCTGAAAGCCACATCCATCTTACCGTTATATAGTCCTATCCCAAATAGAAGCATTTCAACAACAGATTTCTCCCATTCGAAAACTGAGCCAATGTTGGAATCTTTTGAACCAGAATACTTGTTTTTGTTCTCTTCAAACTTCGTTTTGTTGTGTTTGACGTGTCTTGGTTATTATTTTCCATTCAAATGATTGTATTTTGTCTTTTGTCCTCTGTCTGAGTTCTGATTTGCATATCAAAGAAAGAAGTACTTTAGAATAACATGTACAAGGTGTAATCACACATGTTGTGTGCTTAACTAGAATCATTATCACATAAACCTGCCGTTAACATGTGCGGCACAGACATACAACACGAATGACATTATGTCGTAGAGCTGACAAAATGTGTGTTTTTTTAAGCATAACTTGGTTGACTTTTTCTCATGAAGGCACAGTTAAGAACATGTTCAAGATATCAGAGTGATAATGGCCCAGCCTGCAATAGTATGGCTAATACCAAACAAAGCATCAGGGACACATCACACGTGACTTCAGCCTGTCATTTCATCTTTTCTTGCTCCCTCTTATAAGTAAAAACACTTCTATGGCACATCTGTAACATGCACATTTACAGTAGCAGAAAAAGAGGAAGTATGTTGCTGTCAGGGGGGGGGGGACAGTTTACCAGTAATTTAATTGAATATTGGACATAACTCTTACACATTCACCATTGTTTACATGCATATATGGGTTCAGACACAAAAAAATACATTTCAAACGCCAATAAGTCATTGCATTAATCCAGATTTCCCGCGGTGAGGCTGCAGAGCATCATGGATGGATGCATGACGTTTCTTTTGGTCCATTTGCTTCACGCACGCCTCTGGAATCTAAATCCCCAATAACAGATGGTGAATGGGACAGGGTAGTATTACTGTAGTCAACTGCATCAGAGACAGGGCACAGTAAAGCATGCTGGACTGTATGTCATAACGTCTCTTTTCCTCACGCAACACTGTAAATAATGCCTGGCTCTGTTCAGTCTCTCAGTCTTCTGCTTATGGAAGCAGGTTGTCAATGTCCTCTAAATCCCAGCTCTAATCCTCTGTATCATATAGGAAGCAGGCTAGCATTTCATGCTCTTTGATTCCCTGTATAGGATGAGTCAGCTGGGGAATTATGCCTTATCAGAGCTCTAGTTGCTATATGGTGGCACACCCTGCTTACATGGGAGAACATGTCTGTTCAATGCTACTCAGGGTTTTATCGGACCACAGTCACCTGCTGGTATCGTTATACATTTCTGTTATCCTCTGCATTATTATGGTAAGACTTTTGGGGTCTTTTTATAATATGCGCTTGTGGGTCGTGTAGATGTTGACCCAAAGAGGAACACCACATGCTGTATTTATCATTGTGTCAGAGCTGTTTTGGTCGAATGCAACTCTGACATCCAATAATTAGACTGTTGCAGAGGATGACATTCAACACATTAACAGGGTCAAGGTTAAGAGGGGAAATATAAATGAAATAATGTTTTTTATTGAGGTTTGATATGGGTCTGTTAATGCTCATAGTCATGTGTCTCTTCAAGTTAAGAGTGGTTTAATAACTGTAGTTTTTAGGGCTTGTAAGGAACATCCTCAGATTAGAGAAGAGTTAAATATTTGCATTAGCTCCAAGGTTATACATTTAATAGGCTCAAACTGTGTCATGCATTTTCAAAGGGTTTTAGGCGGACATGAGGCAAGTCGTCTGCCATGAAAAATGGTCTTAACATGCCATGTTTCAAACCAGAGTTACAAGATGAATTGTCTCTTCAGAAACATACACATCAAGAGAGGGGAGGTTCTTCAGTCTGAAGGCTCTGTGTGTGTTGCAGGATGGACGTCTGCGGCCTGGAGATCAGCTCATTGCTGTGAACAAGGAGTCCTTGATAGGTGTGACCCACGAGGAGGCAAAGAGCATGCTGAACAAAGTCAAATCCAGGTGGGTGGGCCTTGTACATTTATTGTTCATTCAGTAACTCTGGCCCAATTACAAACCGCCCCCGACACACTTCCATTCAGTTTGCACGTTTGATTGGAGGCTCCGCCACATTAAGTGCCGTTCGAAAGCAACAAGCGGGGAGGGGGAGTGGGTTACCAAGCCCTGACCGACCCAACGGTGTTTGTGTTGGGGGATCGGGCTTTCTGTGCTTAAACTTGTGTTTCTTTTTTTTCTTTCTTTTAAGCCGCTTGTAGCACTTTGGGATTGCTTTTAGCAATGAAAGGTGCTTTACAAATAACATTTATTATTATTATTATTATTATTATTATTAACAGTTCTGTGCAAACATTTACAGACTTTTTCAAAAAACCAAGCAGTTTATAAACATCCGATTTTTTAAACTAAAGGATTTTAACAAAAAGGAAATGGCATTTCCTGTTTCTGACGGAGAGGAGGGGAGCCGCTGTATTTACAAGGAATGAAGCCTTGTTTAGCTGTGAGAGTGACCACAGACGGAGTTCATTCCATCACGGAGGGGGAGTGGGTAGGGGCCGGTTTGGAATTTGGTCTAAAAGTGAGTAACATCTGTGAGTCTCTGTGGAGACGGGGATCACAGTGGGGATTAGTCATCTCTCTTTCCTCTGTGTTCCTGCTAATGTCTTGTTTGAATTGTGTCTCCAGCCCAGACAGTGCTGTGGAGATCGCCTTCATCCCAGGGAAAGGACTTTTTCCGAGCAGCGCGTCTCTCCACAACGGGGTGCAGCGGGCTGCAGGCAACAGCTACAACTCCGGACGCTTAAAAGTCCACATCAGATCTCCTGAGGTCAGCCATGCTTAGTTTCATTCATCAGAAACATACCAGAATATGTCTAGGACTAAGAAATACTGTTTCCAGAATACTATAGCAACGGATGCAAATATGAAGTAGCAGGAGCAGTATTTCCCAGTGAAGCTGCACTTTGTCAAATGATAGGAATAGTGTACAGTAGTGTTGTGTGTAATGTACGGTGTAGTGTACAGTACACACCAGTGATTAAAAAACAAAGGTAGTCTTTCTAAACATTTGAAGATAGGGCAGGATGTCCAGTCCGGTGATAGTAATGATTCTCTCTGACCAATCACTGTTTTGCAGTGTTTCAACAACACCTACTGCTATTGGCTGAGGTTGCTTAGGATCTCGACATACATATATCAGAAGAATTATATCGAATCTTATCTATTCACTATTGTCATAGGACATCCACAATGCAGCTGGTCAAGTTGATTACATCCGTGCTGTGCCATGTAAACGCGACATCCTACAGTTTGCTCTAATGAATAATTCACAATTTAAAGAACATATCAATAATATTTTGCAACTAATGTAAGACAGGTTTCTGTATGGAACTTGAAGTTCATAACCACATGTAAATGCAAGTTTAAGCTATTAATAAGAGGTTTGTTAAGTTCTGAGAATTATTATGAGCACACTCCACAGGATCAGATGTATGACCTTTTGTTTGTCATTCATTTTGCATCCGTCTTGTGCAGATGTGTGCAGAGGAGCCAGCCCCGGTGTCCTCTCCGTCCCCAGACATCTGCCCTCCAGATATTCATATTTCAGGTAAACACCTCACTGTTAACACTCAATGTTCCCTTTCCAGATGTACTCCCATTCATAAATGGGCTCGGGAAGTATTAATAGACAGACTGACACGGTGTTGGTTTAGATCTTTTTTATAGGGTTTGATGCCAATAAGAGAAATATATAATTTGCCAGCCTTCTACTCTTAGAAAATGCACAATGACACTGTTAATATAACTTCCTGTATGTGTTACTGCATTGTCCTGTTCACTGCACCTCCTCCCCTTCACCCTCTCACTATCTTCCTGTTGACTTGTGTAATATAGTTCACAAAGCAGCATAAAACACATTTAAAGGACTATTAAACACCTGCTGAATCAGAGTAAATGTTTTCAGTGATTTGTCCTCAATGTCCCTCATATTAGATCAGATACATGTTAGATAAAGCCAGCTGATCCCAGAATGAAAAAAGGGGAACACTTTCTCCCTGGCAGAGATTGGGGATTAAAGGACAGGAGAGAGGATTTAAAGGTCCCATGTCATGCTTTTCCGGTTATTACCCGTCCCCTTGTGTGTTAAGTACACCCTGTAGCGAATACAACTCAAACACAGAAAAGACCTGTCTATGCTGCCCCAGAACGCCTCGTTGGAGATTTTTCTTTTTCTTCCTGGGTACAGTGACGTATTGGGTATAGTTACGTTACGTGCACGGAGCCGTTACGTTTGGACCAGGATGGGTTCAAAGCAGAGAACACATGTCACTGTGTGTGCTGTGTGCTCTGCATGTGTGACCATTACAGAGGGGTTCATCCTCCGATTCTGCAAGGCTTAATGACATTAATAAGACCAAGACAGTAAACGCTCATAATACATCATATTATAATAACATTTTTAGGCACAGCAACAGTTAAAAGCTGGCTATTGACATTTCTCAACAGTCCTGTCAACAGGGGTGGGAAGTACTAAGTACTGTACTAACTTTTGAGCTGCTTGTACTTTACTTGAGTATTTCCATGTAATGCTACTCTATACTTCTACTCCACTACAATTAAAAGGGAGATAATGTAATTGTACTCCACTATATCTATTAAACAGCTTGAGTTTCTTTTAACAAAATCCATCTCTAAATTCAACTAGTGAACTATCTCTTTAAGTTACAAAAGAGCCACGTTATTTAAATATTTTACAAAAGTAAATCAGAACTTTTAAATGCTACTTGATGCATATTATCTAGAAATGTCACATTTATAACGTTTTAGACACACATAAAGGCAATTTTTACCTTTTATACATTTAGTACATTTTGCTGATAATTATTTTGTACTTTGACTTAAAGGTAGGGTAGGTAAGAATGGATAAACCAGTTCGAGTGCGCTAGAATTTGAAAATACACAACCGTAAAAAAATCTGCCTCTTCCTTCAGACTTCCTTACAGAGCCCCTCCTCCAACACACACGAACGCGCACATGAGGGCACGAGATAAGTTTGTGCACAGATGGAAGGCTGACAGGCAGGTAGGCCATCCAGTTATTTTAGCCGGGCCGGCTCAGATGATTGGTCGTGCTTTTTACAGCGCCACGGCTTCCACAGATGACATTTTTGTATCTATTTATTGTCAAAGCATTTAATGTATTCATTGCTATCGGGATGTTAAGAGCATTCCATGGAATATAACAAAAAGTGTATCTGAAATAAATGACATACCCCACCTTTAAGTATATTTTGAATGCAGGACTTTAACTTGTAATGAAGTATTTTGACAATAATGTATTGGTACTTTTACCCGTATAAAGCATCTGAATACTTCTTCCACCTCAGCCTGTCATGCAGAGATGTGAAATACTGAGCATACGAAAAATCGAAAGTTGAAAAGTATTATATTATACTTATTGAAAGTATTTGAAAATTCAGAACTATTATTAACTTGGTAGACATAAAACATGTACTGTTTGATGAAATGACATTTTAATAACACGTGTTACTAGTGTTTTATTGGCTGAAACACCTGAAGACTGACAGCAATATAAAACAGTTGTGTTTAATCCAAGAGGAAGTGCTGGAAGGTGAAACTGAAACGTTGGGAGCAGCAGGTCTGATGTCGAGGGTCGCCTCCAGCTCAGAGCCAATCCTATTGGGCCGGATTAGCTCCGTCAAGGTTATTTCCTAGGTGCTGTGACCACCTCGCTCCCCGCAGCCTCTTATTGGTTAAGCCTGTTGCTAGCCATGACAGATGTCCGTAGTTCATGGTGAGGTGAGCACATACAAAAAATGACTGGCTATTCTTTTTTTATAAGAGTGACTCCTGACACTAAATCAACTATTTTGGTTTCATTCTCATTCTCAATTATGGGAAGCAAGGATGAAACCTTAATGCCATTTAAAGTAAAGTTGCTGTTATCAGTTCTTCCTGCTGCACACGCAGACTTACAGTAAACAGCACACTCATCTGTTTGAGTCAGCTGATCTCTGGGACAGACTGACCTTCCTCTTCCTCTCTAAAGCATAGCCTCATCCTGTTAGAAGATAAACGCAGCTGTGTCCATAAGAGTCCAGTCTAAAGCTACATGTATCACCTGGGCTCCTAATGAACGTATAGTGATTGCAGTCTGTTTTTTATAAAGCAAGAATTCCGCGGTCTTCAAGGTCAGTAGTGTACCAACAACAGTCACAGCAACATAAGTTGAACTTATTTAAAGGGGACCTATCATGCAAAATGCACTTTTGTACGTCTTTTATACATGAATATGTGTCCCCGGTGTTCCAGGGAACTCACCAAGTGTCAGAAAACACAACCCTCTCTCTTTTCCTCCATACCCAAATCTCTAAAAAAGGGGCTGCAACGGATCTGATAAAAACTGATCCAGATTTGAACATTCCTCTGACGTCAGGACGGAGGAGCTGACCTATCAGGGGAATGAGAGGTTGCCGTGGCATGGTAACAGCATGGTAACATGACGCTCGTAACTCGGCCCCCTCCTTTGCAGGGGGGCGTGGTCAGCTGCAGCGCATGCAAAGACAGGGTGGAGGACAGCAAATAGAGCGAAATGAGGCATGGCTAAAATGCATGATCTGTTTGGTATTTTGAAAAAGAAAACGTATAAATATACCTTATATAGGTATGGCCCTACAATATATTATTCAAATATAGCATGATAGGTCCACTTTAAACAACAACTGCAGAAACAGACAAGCGGAACATGTCCAACATCTCAAGAATAAAGTTGAAAATTCCGTATTTCTGCTAAGACTGCTTGAAATGTCAAGTGTATTCTAGACATTTCATCTTGGTTGTCATCATTTCAACAACTAATTTGTTGAAATGCAAATATATATATTTCTTAATGTCTCAACCTCATTCTCAAAAGGCACAAGAAAATCCTCCTCTGACTTTCAATCTTCTTGTGTTTGGCACTACAACGTAGGGATTCACTTTTAAGTAAACATTATGATTCCCTTTTCGACATTTTAAACTTTCTCAAAATGCTAAAATGTTAACAAAATAATAATTTTTCCTCCCAATTGTTTCGATCTCCTCGCCATAACAATCCTTCTTAAGAAATTGAAATGTGGCTATTTTGTATGTATTCTTTTATATTGTATTATGTAATATTGTATTTGTTTTACACTAGAATGACAACAAATGATATGATGTGTGCTGTTTAGGTTTGAAGCACAGCTGTTGTCCCAGCAGCAGACCTGTCAATCATCCCTGCCAGTCAGGGGTAGGGCGTGGTGCAAATCTTGTGGGCGGGACTTGGAGGAGGGTATCAGTGAAATGAGTTCAAATCCCTAGCAACAGGGGGGTGCGGACCAGAGGAAAGGTTGTGATAGCAGACTCACCAATCTGGGACAGACACACTTATCAAATTAATATTAGGCACTGGCTGATGCCGCCCCCTCCCCCCCGCTCTCTGTGTTCCCCTCAGCCTCATCTATATAATCATCCACCTTTCCTTCTCTTTTTAATCATCTGATCTCATCCCCCCACCCAAACACAGACTCACACACACCTCCCCTATCACCACAACCGCAAAATACAGATTATGCAGTGATATTTCTGCTCCTGTTGTTTACTCAGTGTCCTGTGGCCTCACTTACTCTCAGAGTCCCGCTGAAGGCCAGTAGGGGGCTCCGGCCTGATATCTGAATGTATTTACCAGAACTCCTGCTCACTGCTTTCCCCTTTGTCTGTGACCAAATCAACCACATCTCTTATCTACTTTTCCTCCTCTTTCCCCTCGTCTTTCTCTTTTTCTTTTCTCCTTTCTCTAGGTTCCACAAGTCAGAGTTCGCCAACGGGGGCCAAACCTAAGATAACACTGGACCCCTACATACGCCTCAAATCAGACAAGTTAGACTTGGTGAGTCAGATGGTTTTATACAGCCATGAGGCCAAATACTTGACCTGTTGTGCAGTGGTGTACTACTTTTGAGATACTAGTATTTAACTTGAGTATTTTTATTTGTGGCTACTCTGTACTTCTACTCCACTACAGTTCAGAGGTACATGGTGTACTTTTCCTCCACTACATGTATTTAATACCTTTAGTTACTTTACAGATGTGGATGAATGATGTGAAATATAATCAAGTGTTAAATCAGACTTTAGTTCCACCTGGAGTAAATTCACAAGCTACCCTGCAGTATACAAAGTCATTCAGACTAGCTGCACCTTTTTGATGCTAATACTTTTCTATTTTTACTTGAGTAACCTTTTGAATGTAGGACTTTCACTGTAACAGAGTATTCCTATACTGTGGTACTTCTACTTTTACCCAATACTAGATATGAGTACTTCTCCCACCTCTGCTGTTGTGTGATGCCGGGCATGTTGAAGTGGTTTCTTTCAGTGCGTACGAGGCTTTCGGTGCATTTGCCTTGTTAAGCTCTGCCACCTTTCTCCCGTCTCTCTCTCTGATTCTCCTAACCTCGATTTACAAGTGCATCACATAAGTGCATAAACTATAGTTACAACTCTGAACAACAAGAGAAATGCAGATGTATTTGCTTCAAACAAAGCAAACCATTGTAAGTGCTGTAGCACTACTAAGCTGGGTGATCCTGATGTGTGTGTCATGAATATTCCATCTGCTTAATCTGGAGACAACCTGTCACTCTAGTGTTCTACTGAAGAGAGATATACAACTGTTGAGTGGCTGCAGCAGAACATGTATGATATTAGAAAGGACATTTAGACGCACACATACAAAGGCATGGAATATAATACCTATAACAGAAAGATAGCTAAAGCTATAGAACATTTTGATCTGGTTCTTCTATCACCACCAGCAGCAACTTCCACCAAATCCACAGAGACTGTCTGCCCAGCAGCAACTTGCTCAGCGAATAAAACCTGACAGTTAAACTGTCATTCAAGAGAGTTTGTCCTGATACTAGCTAAATAAGAAAGGTGTCGCCACAAGGACTCATCCGGTGGGGACCATGAATATCCACAGCCACATTTCATGACAGCCTGACCAGGATTTAAAGCAATTTACAAGGAACTTTCTTCAAGGAGATCAGCACAAACCTTTAATCTGATCAGGACAGTCCTGCACACAGACCTCTGATTCTGCTCTCTGTCTGAACATCATGTTTCCTGTAGCTCAGTTCCCATCAGAGCTCTGGTCCAGGTAGCTTGTAAATGCCTTCCTGTCTGATGGCGGCCGCCCCCTGTTATCTTGCTCAACATGTTTGGGAAAGATGGCGATTCCACCGTGGGAACGGACAACATGTCCTCCATGATGTACACAAACAACTGTTGATCTCTGCTATGAGACTAACATTCCTGCTCCGTCTCCTCATCCATGAACTCTGAATGTAGCGCAGCGGAAAGGGACGTTTGATTAAATGTTCTGTCCTCCCGTTAAAGTCACAAGATAATTTTGCGCTTAGTAACTGTAATGCAATTACTGCCATTATCAACAGTTACACGTTACATTACTGCGTTACAGACAAATGTAATCTGATTACCCCCAACGCTGCCAACCTTTGCCTGTGATAATCTAAACATAGGCTCTTCTCAAAGATAGTTTCTTATGATTCTCCAGCAAAATGACCCTGTGACAGGCTTTAAGAATAACTACCATCTCTCTGATGGGCAGGTTTGTGGGGAGAGCGCTGTCCCACAGACTGGGTTCAGTGGGGGGGGGGGAGATGTGGAGCCTTTGAGGGACATATGATCCTCACATTTATTCTTATCAAGCACACTTTACATCATGCACGTTTCGGCTCTCCATTTAGGTTTTTAGAGAAACCCTGAGCAGGGTTGATCTGATCGCCCCCAGGCCCTCTCTTCATCTCATCATTGATCTCTCTCTCAGTCTCTCTTCGCTTGCTTATCACGCTTGCGCTCTTCATCTGTACATTCTTCTTACCCTTTCAGCCCATTCACCCCCCTCCCCCTGCCCCCAGCTTCCTGTCTCTCTGCTGATGGCTCTCCTCTGCTCGTTCTCTGGCTCTATTGCTGCCCTCTGTGCAGTTCGGTTACCATTATTCAGCTTTGCTTTTAATTTAGCTCAACCGAAGGTTGATCCTAATCTACCAATTCATTCATGGGATTAGAGAGACAGATAGGTTAAATGCTAAAGTTAAATACAGGAAAAGTCCTCTCTTCATGTGCTGGCTCGATGCAAATGAGTCCAGAGCTGGTCATATTAGAGGTGTGTAGAGTGAGTTTGGCACAAGCAGGCAGCTATGTGGACATTACCAGGGCCAGGCTGTCTCCCCATTGACCCAATCTCCCAGGTGATGGTTACTGTAGGTTACTGTAGTCCAGGTGGGGGGCAGTATGGCATTAGGGATAGAAACAGTCCTCTCCAAAGCAAAGTTGCTTGACAAGACGCTAGACTTGACATTACAGAAACCTGGACGGTATGTCATGGAAAGTGTAATATTCCAAAAAACAGTGAGTCCTGTAACCTGGGGCCTCATTTATAAAGCTTTGCGTAGGATTCACGTGGGAAGGTGGCGTATGTGGGACAAAGCAAATAAATACGCACACACATATTCCGATTTATAAAACAATGCGCACGCACGTCCTACGCCGGTTTCCCTTTATAAATCACAATCAACTCGAAATGCGGCGCAGCTTTAGCGGGCTTCACGTCACGCCCATATTTGCCTATAAATAGTCAAATAAATGCCCATTCATTCATTCATTTTGACTGACTGCATGAAGAAGATCGCAGGAAATGAGGACAGCACAGCTAAAAAAGACATCTCACACCGTGTCAGATTTTGGTTATTTTGGGGAGGTGGAGATAAATCATATTGTTTGGTGGATGCAGTTTGAACCAGAGTAGCAGCATGGAGGTCGGATCGTCACCAACATAAATAAATAAGTGGTCAGAAAAAAGTTAATGACAAAAAAAATACACCTAACCTTCCTCAGGCAGTGTGTTTGTACCGGGGACATGAGACACCCCCTTGATGAGAAACTGTAAGAAATGATCGGGGAATCCCTCCGGAGTGGAGTCATGACGACTGGATCTGAATTATTTGTTTGTATTTGGTGGTTTGTGTTCCAGCTGTCGATCAGCAACTATATATCCATAATCCACCAGTTAAAGGAAATACAACTAATGTGTTGTGTTATATTAGCTGTACAATTTACCACATATGGTGTTCTTAGTTTCCATACCTCCTGTGTTTTACGAGCGACTTATCAAGTAGGCTATTGGCGAACGGCATAACACATGATTAAACATGATAGTATATAAAACCATGCTCGTATCTATACAACCTATAGAAATGCAAAACGGCGTCAGTTTAAAGTAGTTCTGTCCTTCTGCTTACCGCATCATTTATGAGAATACATTTCTTAACAAGAGAACATAATCGAGGGGTGATCTATAACATTTCCGTATTTATTTATTTCTCCAAGTTATGTTTTTGTGTGCACTGAGGAGTCTCAAACAGGCGGTTGTTAAATCATTTTAATCAATTTGTGAAAATTAATTCTTCATATATGATAAATGAGAGGTAACATTTTATTTATGGTATTATTTCCACATATTTCTCTCCATTATTCCTTCTGCCAACGGTGTCGCAGTTTCTCGTCTCACCCGTTTTTTATAAATCGCAAAGATTGCTTAGAAACTGGCGTACGCCATCTTTTGAGCGTATGCAACATATATAAAATAATGAGCTATAAATGAGGCCCCAGGTCTCCTCTCTGTGGCTTCCTGACAGCCATGGAGTCTCAGGAACCATTCTTTGTTCAATCCATGCAAGAAACAGACCATTTAGGGCTAAATTAAATTAAATCTTCTTTTTCTTTCTCTGCTTTAGGCTTTGACCTTCCTCGGTTTGGACGTCACAGAAGAAAAGAGGAAGAAACTGAGACAAAGCCTGACCGCAGACCCACAAGGCACTGTGGCCTATGGAGGTGAAGCGCACACACACACACACACACACACACACACACACACACACACACACACACACACACACACACACACACACACACACACACACACACACACACACACACACACACACACACACACACACACACACACACGCACACACACACACACACACACACACACACATACACACACACACACACACACACACACACACACACACACACACACACACACACTGCTAGTGGAGCCGGAGCCGGAGCATATATGAAGGTAGATATGGTGCAAAATGCGAGAGCTTGTAAAACCTGATGTGAGCACTTGCAGAAAAGAAATCTGAGCTTGAGTGCATACATTTACACTTGTATAAAATATCCACGTATCTGTGAACCAAATTTGAAGTCACAGAAGAAAAAAAAAAAAGTGTTGTAGCTTGTAGGAAAAAAATGAATTTAGTGATGAAATGTTCACTTGCAGAAAAATACATATTTTAAAATATATTTTCCATTACAACTGCAACTTGGTTATTACAACCTCACAAATCAGTCATTACAACGTCACGAATCTGCTCTGTGGCAGTATAAATCCACGAATCTGCGGCCTTGACTTTTGCTACACTTCTTGCGATGAATGTGTCGCTAAAGTAATTTTCACCTGTAGATGTGGGGGAGGGAGGGGGGTTGGAGCGAAGGGGCGGAGCTATCAGAACGAGGAGGTGCAAGCTCGGGTCGGTCCCACACAAGTCTACTGTTGCCCCTTTCACACCAACGCAGCTCCCGTTCTAGCTCCGTGCTTCGCTCACTACAACAACAATGGGGGACTGCGTCGGGTCGATGATCGTGTTACTTTTAATCATACGAAGCCAGATTAAATTAAATAACTACTTCTCCAACCTTGTACTTTTCTCCAGAGTGCCGTGGTTCATTGTTTATTAATGTGTTTCAGGGGCATTTACCGACCGCTGCAGTGCTGCTCGTCCACCTGGAGATTATTCTCCCGTTAACTCACAGCAGCGGCCGCTTTAAAGTATTCACTGTCTGACTGTCACACAAGCAGCTGATACATATCCCCAATTCCCCATAAATTTGTTTGTTTGTTTGTAGCCTTTATTTAACCAGGTGAAAAATCCCATTGAGATCAACGATCTCTTTTTCAAGGGAGACCTGCGGTACATTGGTTAGACATAAAAACAACAGAAAACAAAAAGGACATCACAACTGTTAAGGAATAATTATTCTAGATATCTAACCTTTTGCTCTGTGACATTTTATGATCTACTCTGACGTCTGTTATCTCCTTTAAGGAAAGGCATTGGTGCCATATGTGTTGTTGTTACCAGTTTGTGACCGGTCAACTTGTCTGGCACGAATGGTAATTGTTGTGAACGCTGAGGCACTTCTTTATCGGTGTTTGTGGACTCTAAGATGTGAAATCTTTGAGGCCATAAGTGTCGGACGCAAGTGATTCAGTGTTCCCAGCTGTTTAGTCTACTCTCTCAGAGATGTTGATTTCTCTCTGTGAACCAGTTAAAAGGTCTAGCATAGAGAGAGGCTCTTCAGAATTGACGTGGCAACTCTCCCGTGAAGTCAGACCCTCTGACTCGTGACTTGTGATGTGAATCCTCCGGCCGATACTCTGAATAAACCCATCAGTGTTTGACATCAAAAGCTCCAACTCTCACCGTGTCTCCTTCCTGAGTCGGTGACTCCCACTGCATTGCTACACAGAGGTTTCCCCCACAACAACATAATTACAGGGGTATCAATTAGCAACCTATTCACAATGACAGGTATCTAATAACATTTCATCCAGCCGTGCTTTAAAATGATGCAAGGGAATCAAAATGCTCAGTTTCAAAATAAATTGCATAGTGTTCCAAGCTAGAGGAGCAGCGCACATAAAAGCTTTAGTACCTAAAACAGTCCTAGCACTTGGCACATGTAATAAAAACACATCCTGGGATCTCAGGCAATAGCTACTTGCCACTCTCTGTGAGATCAAAGAGCATATATAAGTTGGGAGTTTACCCAACATAGCTTTATAGATGAATATGTACCAATGACTGAGCCTCCGTACAGTAAGTGAAGGCAGACCTGCCTTGGCATACAGGGTACAGTGATGAGTAAGTGCTTTACAGTTAGTAACAAATCTCAGAGCACTGTGATAGGCGGCATCTAACCTTTCCAGGCAATGGGCAGGTGCATTCATATATATCAAATCACCATAGTCCAGCACAGGTCAAAAGGTCACAGTGACTAGCCTTTTTCTGGCCTCAAGCGAGAAACAGGACTTGTTTCTGAAAAATAAACCTAGTCTAACCCTCAGTTTTTTAAGCAGATTATTGACCTGAAGTTCAAAAGTAAGACAATCATCAAGCCAGATACCAAGGTATTTATAACAGGTAACCACTTCTAGTACTTGTCCTTGCATAGTAACAATATCCAAAGCAGTCTCTGGAGTCTTTTTAGCTTTAGAAAAGAGCATTACCTTGGTTTTATCAACATTTAAAAGAACCTTAAGCTCAGAGAGCTGAGTCTGTATAATATTAAAAACAGCCTGTAATTTAACAACAGCCTCCTTAATGGAGGGACCTGCACAGTACATCACGGTATCATCCGCATAAAAATGTAAAGTAGCTTCATCCACATTTTCACCTAAACTATTGATGTAGATGGAGAATAAAAGTGGACCTAAAACAGAACCTTGAGGAACACCATTAGTAATGTTTAACCACTCAGAAGACAGCCCATCAAAGTGAACACATTGGGACCTTTCAGAGAGGTAGTTCACAAACCACCCCACTGCAAGGCTGGATATGCCAATACTGAGTAGCCTCTGCTTTAAGATGCGATGATCGACGGTGTCAAACGCTTTGGAAAGGTCAATAAGCAGAGCTGCACAGCTCTGCTTATTATCTAAAATACTCGTAATGTCATTCACCACTTTCATTGTGGCAGTGATGGTGCTATGTTGTTTTCTGAAGCCTGACCGATGTTTAGACAGGATATCATTTTTACATAAAAACTCCTTTACTTGTTCACTCACTAGGCGTTCGAGCAACTTCGCCAGAACTGACAATTTAGAGATTGGCCTATAGTTATTTAAAATAGTTGCCTCCCCTCCTTTCAGTAAAGGCAAGACATAAGCTGACTTCCATACTTTTGGAATTGTATTTGTGCTGAGGGAGAGGTTAAAAAGAGAAGTAAGAGGTGGAGCAATAAAATCTGCAGCTATCTTTAAAAAGAAAGGTTCTACGTTGTCCGGGCCAGCCGGTTTCTTAGGATCTAACTTAGATAATGCTTCATGAACAACATTAACAGTAAAAGGAGTAAAACTGAAAGGGTTTTCCAGACCACATTGTTCAGAGTCACGGATTGGGGTGTTCAAGTGAATGTGAGTCAGTCTGAATTGACGCTGTTTGGCATCACAACGCTGTTATGAAAGTTTCTCTGGTATAAAATGGGTGATGTTAGCATAGCAACCGAAGCTAAACTGACTATATTGACTACTTGTTGCTATTCTATTGTGGCATAAGCCGTTTTCTACAGGCACATTTTACCGGCGTACCGGTGATTCTACTTGTCTAAGAACCGGTTTTCGGTTCGGCGCGAACAGGAAAAACCGGTGCTTATCAGGCTCAAGCTCCGAACCGGCCCTGGAACCGCGTTGGTGTGAAAGGGGGAACATGCAGGGCCCCGCAGTCATCCGGTTCGACCTGACTATGGCTGTGTGACTGACCCGAGCTTGCGTCTCGTCGTTCTGATAGCTCCGCCCCTTCGCTCCAACCCCCCTCCCTCCCCCACATCTACAGGTGAAAATTACTTTAGCGACACATTCATCGCAAGAAGTGTAGCAAAAGTCAAGGCCGCAGATTCGTCGATTTATACTGCCACAGAGCAGATTCGTGAAGTTGTTATGACTGATTTGAGAGGTTGTAATAACCAAGTTGCAGTTGTAATGGAAAATATATTAAAAAAATATGTATTTTTCTGCAAGTGAACATTTAATCACTAAATTCATTTTTTTTCTACAAGCTACAAAACTTCTTTTTTTCTTCTGTGACTTCAAATTTGGTTCACAGATGCGTGGATATTTTATACAAGTGTAAATGTATGCACACAAGCTCAGATTTCTCTCGCATTTTGCACCATATCTACCTTCATAGCATATAGTAGACTCTTCACGCTAACGAATGATCACTTCTTCTTCAGGGCAGGGAAGGCTACGCAGTACGCAGGCTACTGTTCCGCAGCTGCTGCCTCTCTGTTGGACTCCGGTACTGCACATTACTCACGAGACGTTTTAAAAAAAAACATTCGGGGCTTTTCAGAAAACATCCGGGGCTTGAGCCCAAGTAGCCACACCCTAGCGCCGCCAAAGATTTAGGAAATTGGTCCGTGCGCAAAGCGTTGTGGGGATTTTAAGACCGCGGAGGATGTGCGGCCTCGAAATTTCCCGCAATGAAGGACGCCGGCCTCGGTAGAATTCCAAGGATCCTGGACATTGGAACAGTCCTTCGGCGGGACTCGATGACATAGCATCCTTGAAATAGTGGCTCTGGAGGAGCCTTCCTCGACATTGAGAAACACCCACAGTCAGACCTCACCCCTAGATTCCACCGGGTCCGTCTGCGCTGCGTTACGGCTGCGGCGCGGTTTTGGTCCGACCTCCTCCAGCGTCATAAACTACCGGGCGCGTTTCAGAAGCGGAGCGTCGTGCGTGCAGGCTCGCAGTTTTTTGATTTGGGCTTATTTCCTCGACATTTGTACTTCTACAGTAGTTAAATGGTTTATTTTTGTGTCTGTTTCAATTGTGTTTATTGTTGTTATTTCCTATTTTGTTGTGTTGTAGACTACAGACACAGTTAATAATAATTGTAATAGTCCAGTTATAAACGACATGAATCAAAGATGTGTTGCTGTATTTTAGTGGTAAAAAAATATGCATTCATCATCATAATTATTCTCTATATATAATCAATAAATCACTGACCACAAGTTTAATAAACGTTTTAATTATTACAATTTCACCCAAAACAATATTTTAAACAGGAACATCAAATAACAGTTGAAATGTACAACAATTCATTTCATACATTCATTAACTTTAAAACATTAATATTCACCTTCCACTCCACAAACTCCAGCGACTAAACACCAGGCCTTGTCCTTTCTGATGTTGTCCTTGTAAAAATGATGGGTTATGTCGTATAAAATAGTTTGTTTTTCCACTTCCATGATGAAAAGCTCGTCGTCCATTGTGCGTGTCGTAGTGAAGGTGTAGTGATGTGAAGGGGGGTCTGCAAAATTACTTTATTTGGGGGGATGGGCCTGGGCCGGATGCTCTGAACGTTCCACTTCCTGCCTGCCCGACGCGACGCAACGCGTCAAAAATAGGATTCATCCTATTTTTAGAGGAGCCCTGCACCGACACGCTTCTGGGACGCTTCTGGGACGCTTCTAGCCGCGTGTGGTGGAATAGCACCCATTGACTAGAGTGGCCGCCATCGTTGCGAACGCCGCGGCGCAGCCGTAACGCGGCCGTGACACGGCCGTGACACGGCCGTAACGCGACGCAGACGGACCCGGTGGAATCTAGGGGTCAGAGTGTGTGTGACGGCTGCATGTCACTGACTGGTTGTGTCACTTGGCTGTGGTGTCACTTTGTGTAACCGTGACGACGGTCTGAGCCTGTACACAGCTCCTCACCTGGAGACACTTTACAGGAGCTGGGTCAAAGGGTTGATAATATGTGATCACATTTGTTTATTACTAATACTAATCTAATACATAATATATCTACTAATGGGGTGTTTCTCAATGTCGAGGACGCTTTCTTGGTAGCACATGTCTTCCGAGTCACTTGCTTCAGAAGCGAGGCAAGAATCCTTCCTAGCCTCGGAAAACAAAGAATGGTGGAACAGGCTAACAGGTGTGCAGGTGTGCGTCATATGAGAGGCCCCGCCTTAAATGGAGCGCTATTTCCGCCAAAGATTTGGAAATTGGTCCGTGCGCAAAGCATTGTGGGGATTTTAAGACCGCGGAGTCTACACATGTGCAGCCTCGAAATTTCTCGCTACGAAGTACGCCGGCCTCGGTAGAATTCCAAGTATGCTGGACATTGGAACAGTCCTTCGGCGGCACTCGATGACGTAGTATGCTTGAAATAGTGGCTCTGGAGCAGCTTTACTCGACATTGAGAAACACCCATGGAGTAGTAAATAATTCTTCATGTTCAATAATTGACAAGTATAGGTATATAAAACTTGAGTTAGAATTGCCTGATCGGAAACAGAATCAGGTTTATTGCCAAGTAGGTTTACACATAGCCTACAAAGAATTTGCCTTGGTGTATACATAAGCACAGGTAAAGAAGATACAAAGTAGGAAAAACAAACAAAAAATAAATATAGACAATCATAAAAAAACGTTTAAACTATTATACATTAAGGTATATATATAATCTTATATATATATAGTATATTTTTTCTTTTATTTGTGCTTGTTTTTCTTACTTTGTATCTTCTTTAACTGTGTTTATGTTTACACCATGTACACCAAGGCAAATTCCTCGTATATGTGAAACTACTTGGCAATAAACCTGATTCTGTTTCTGATTCTGACTATGACAAAGTAAAAGATAAATAAAAGATCTGCAGTATTGTTGTGGAAAGTGTAGATACTAAGAGTAGGAATATCAGGTTTATCAGTTCATAGCTATTAGTGTTTGTATGTAAACATGTACTGTGTAAAGTATTGGAAGTGAAACAAAACATATAATAACAGCTAAGAATTGCTAGAGTTTCTTCTGACTTTGGTCACGGCCTTAAGTCCAGATACTGTTCCAGGATAGTAGGATACAATCTGAAAAGAGCACATATTGATCACAGCAGCTCCATTTACAACATCAACACATATTAAAGGTACGATTCAGGGACAACCTTTAAACATGTGGGTGTTTCAGTTATAGTTGTGAATAAAATGGGAACTACGAAGTGATGTTGTGTAGGTTTCTATGGCAACATAAATGAGGTTAGAAGGTGGTAGTCTCAGACCGATGAACTGTGTTTGAACCCGATTCATTTCACTGTCTGTGATACAGAGAGAGGTTTACTAGGTTAAAAACTGTTGTGCAGCGACCTCTAGTGACCAAACACATGAACATCACCGTAAGAGACTGGTGTTTCCTGTCCCGTATAAAAGCAAAAGTTAACTTGTGTTTTTTACGTTTTTTATGTTACAAACATTTTTTCATTTTTTCAACCATGATCTTTTTCTAAATCTAACCAAGTAGGTTTGTTCCAATTCAAAACATTTACCATGTTATAAAACTGCCACCTTTCACATAGGTCTGAAGCGTTAAGATGGTAATGATTAATAACATTTGAATGGAAAGGGTTTTTCAGGGGATTCCAAGCTATAAAACCTAAAATGCTTAATGCATTGGTGATGTGAAAACTAAAAACCTTTGCAAAAACACAAAAAAGTATTGACATACATTATAAATAGCATATTGTACTTATTTACAATGTATCTGTGCTTGTCTGTCCTCTCCCAGACTTCGTGGAGGCTACCCGGAACATCTTCCAGGAGAACCTGGAGGAGCTGGGTTTAGGGGCGGATCCCTTCATGTTCTCCTATCATGAAGCAGCGAGTTTGATGGACACGTCCGCCTTCCACTCCCCCGTAAGCTCTCACACAGATCAGATCAAGAGCAAAACTGAAAAGATCCTCAACTAACATAAACACATAACTTGTTCTTCTGTGTTTGCAGACGTATGAATCAGAATGCAGCTACAGCAGTGAGGAGATGGAGCAGTTTCAGACGGAGGTGAAGCAGCTCCACACCCAGATGAAGCAGCTCAAGGTAAACTATTGTAATGTACTCATTTTTTGCAATTTCCTCTGAGCTGATGCTCAGTGATCTCAGCTCTCCTCCTCTCTGTGCAGCTGATGCTGAAGGACATGGAGCACAGCAAGAAGACTCTGGAGGAGGAGCTGCAGAAGACCTCGGAGGTGAGGAGTGTGTGGGGACTCACATGTTGGAGCCTGGTGCATGCTGTGAGAATTATTCACTCATGTAAAGTAAACTCAGTTATTATGATGCATCAAGCAACATTTACAATGTTCACCCAAACAATTCCTTCTAAACTTTACAGTTATTCAAGTTAAATAATGTGCAGCAAGTTTCCTTTCCACTAACTCAGGCCCAATTCCAATCCACCCCCTACACCAGGGGTGCCCAACCAGTCGATCGACCGGTCGATCGCGGGGAGATTCCCAGTCGATCGCGAGATGTGTCTAAAAATAGAACAACAATATTCTGTTTTATCGTTCCTGTGCCAGAATTATGCACTTGAATGCATCAAAGCTTTGTGATTGGCCGGCGTGACCCCATGTGTCGGGGCGTGGCTGGTGGGCAGTGGGCACTATTTCGCTGACGTTGTCCGTCTCAACAGGAGTGACAGTCCGCACACACACAAGACCACAATTATGGCAGAAGCAAAAAAGCCCAAAATATATAATTTTCACTCCGAGTGGGAGGATGATTATTTTTGTATCTATTCCAATTCAAAGTCCATCTGTCTCATCTGCAATGTGAGCGTGGCTTTATCGAAGAAGGGTCATTTAGGAGCGGCATTTCAAAACAGTGCACAAACGCTACGAGACGGAATTCCCTCCTAATTCTGCCCTACCTCCCAAAAGGTGAGGGACCTGAAAGGACAGCTAAATGCACAGCAGTCCATTTTCACCAGGCCCAACAACAAGAGCAAGGCTGCTACCATAGCATCTTATCGTGTCAGTCACGTTCTTGCGAAACACATGAAGTCCTTCAAAGCGAAGTTGTGAAAGAAGCATTCCTGGAGGCTGCCGACACGCTTTTTGGGGACAGTAAAAATAACAGTAGCAGGTTTTTGATATAATAAAAACTCAAGTTAGATACCGTTATTAATCAGCTGTAAGTTTTAGTTTGTTTGAACTTATTCATTATAATTATTGTACAAAATGGTATAAGAATGCAAACTTAAAGTGGACCTATCATGCTATATTATAATAATATAGTGTAGGACCATACCTATATAAGGCATATTTATACTTTTTTTTTTTCAAATTACCAAACAGATCATGCATTTTAGCCATGCCTCATTTCACTTTTTTACCCCTGTTTTTGCAAGGGCTGATTCTGTGAGAACAGCACCCCCTACAGGCCTGGCATATGTACTACAGCGTCTCCAGCGCTTTCGAACGGCAATGGCCGTGGCTGTCTCCTCCTGATTGGTGGAGTTGGCCCAATAGCCGTAGCGCCACTGTCCTGACGTCAGGACAGTGTTCAAATCTGGATCAGTTTTTATCAGATCCGTTGCAGCCCCTTTTTTAGAGATTTGGGTATGGAGGAAAATAGAGAGGGTTGTGTTTTCTGACACTTGGTGAGTTCCCTGGAACACCGGGGACACATATTCATGTATAAAAGACGTACAAAAGTGCATTTTGCATGATAGGTCCCCTTTAAATTGATTATAGTCTATTATCAATTCAGGTTAAGAAACTAGTGTTGCTTGCATCCTATTTTAAAGGCATTTCTTTTTATACTCTACTAAAATGCAACAAAAAAAGGGTTTGATTCTATTCATTTAGTCTTTTTTATTGCACTTTGTAAGCAGATTCCTGTGTAGCTTCAGATCTGAGTTGTCTTATTAGTAAGCCTAATTTATACTTTTGTAGCAACACTATTTTTATATAATGGCAAAGAAAGGGTTCAGAGTCTTTTCTTTTTTTCCTGTGTCATATGTGGCAGCACTGTTCAATGTTTCTTGAAAACATGACCCACTGTAGTATGTGACGTGTGAATAAACTCCAACTCTGTATCAACAACACTGTTGTGTAACTTCAGTTAAATACTTGTATGTGTGTAGATTAGAAAGAGGTAAGATAAAGGATCTGCAGTATTTTATGAAGTATTAATCGTACAAAGGTCAGTTTTATACAAGTAGAAGTGTGTATTTACCTGGTAGTAGGCTACGCCTCTCTATTTGGACTGGTAGATCTCGGCAGACTGGCAACTTTAAAAGTAGCTCTCGGTTCAAAAAAGGTTGGGCACCCCTGCCCTACACCCTACCCCTACGCACTACCCCTCTGTTTGCGCGTTCGCGCGGAGGGTCCGCCACATTAAGGCCCCGCTCACACGGGACCGTTTGCGTTTATGCACAGTATGCGTATTCAAAAAAGTCTTCCGTTCACATGCATTTGTTTCATTTAACGTGTCTGTTCAAACGAGGACGCTGGAAACGCTGTAGTACATATGCTGGGACTGTAAGTGGCGCTGTAACTTCCGCCAAAATACACCAAAAGCCGCGAAGAAGAGCAACCCGAGCAGCCCCGCTGCAATGTTGCCATGGCTACCCTTCTGTTTAAGCCCCGAAACTGAAACTGAAACTGAAAGAAACCGAATCTGTGGATATTGCATCGACCAGAAGCACGTCTCTGTGGAGAGGACGGCTCAGAAAGAGAGATATTCTCTACAAACACCGGGTGAGATCGCACCTTTGTCAATATAATGGATCAATGCATGAAATCTGACTCTGTTTATTTTGTTTAAGGAGTATAATGGGCGTTAACAATTCTGGTTTTCCTTTTATAATATTATTTCATTCAAGAACCCCTTGTGCGTTTAATTAACACAGCTATTTTTGATAGTTGCTACAGCAGAGAGGTGGGGCTATCGCAATTTTTTCAGGAAATATTCGTATAGAGGTGATTACACGGACTCGGTTGACCCCCCAGAGCGTTTCGTTTGCAAATCTATCCACCTTGGGACCCGTTATTGTTTGTGGGGTCAGTTTCTATCGGCCTCGTGTAAATAATAGGGCTATACGCACGCGAAACTATGCAGATACAAGCAGTTTTCTCCTCGTGTAAACGGCGCCTGCTGTTCCAAACCAGAGTAGGGGGAGTGGGTTATCAAGCCCTCAAACAGCGAGTCTGCATCGGTGCTGACTTCACCTGCTGCCCTACCTGACCGGACTCAACGCTGGGTGTGTCCGTCAGGAAACACGCTGTTTACAAGTAGTTCCTGCAAACATTCACTGATAAATTGCGATGTTAACAACCTCATGATAACCTCATATTTAGGATCTTAGGATCATACCTGTGTTTAGTCATACCTATGCATTTTATTATAAAGTTGTGTATATTTACAGATTGTTGCAAAAACTAAGAAGCTTATAAACATCAGGTTTAAAACTAAAAGAGCTTGACAAAAAAGTAACATAATTAAAGATGTTTGGAGTTTTATTTTAGTTATTCATTTTAATTTTTTGTCCAAGAGATGCTGATTTGAAACCATTTCCTGTTTCTGGCGGAGAGAGGGGAGTTTGTCCCAAAGCTTGCCGCTGTATTTACTCCCTCCATCTGACAGGAGAGAGCCTCGTTGAGCTGCGAGTGTCACTCCGACACGGAGTTCACTCCGTCACGGAGGGGGAATGGGTAGGGTGTGATTTGGAATTGGGCATCAGTCTTTAAACACTGCCAGAGCCCATAACCTGTTCCTGTTAGTGTTTACTTCCTGTCTGTCTTCTTCTGCTGTTCCTGTTAGTGTTTACTTCCTGTCTGTCTTCTTCTGCTGTTCCTGTTAGTGTTTACTTCCTGTCTATCTTCCTCTGCTGTTCCCGTTAGTGTTTACTTCCTGTCTGTCTTCCTCTGCTGTTCCCGTTAGTGTTTACTTCCTGTCTCCCTTTTTCTGTTGATTTCTCTGGCTCTCCAGCACTCCATCAAGTATTAAGAACCTCTGAAATGTCCAAACTGACCAATCAGAATCGAGTATTTAGCCAAGCCATGTCATAAGACTGTAACGGCAGTGTGTGAATGTTATGGCGCGTTTCCACTACAGCGCGGAGCACGGTTTAAGAGGGCTGTGACGTCAGCGGCCCGTTTTTGGTTGCGTTTCCACTTGGCCTAGTACCGGCCGGCGGGTCCTAATTCACAGTTTTTCTGGCCTCATAAAATCGTGGGTCTAGGGCCAGAGACAACGAGGCTGAGTCGGGCTGAGTATGCTAAACTAGAGAGAGAATCGCTGGCAAGGGGGCTACAACTACAACAAGATGGACATATTTGACCGTGATTTAATTGTAATACACGTTATAAAATGATGCCGAAGTAACAACATACTGATACCGGTTAGTAAAAACCATGAATTAATGCTTTGACAAGTCTGCAGACAGACGGCAGGCGAAAAACCTTTTAAAATGCGTGTTTTCTAAATGGAGATTGGCTAAGCTAACGCAGTATTTGCTCCGACCGTCCACACTCACAACAACGGCCTATACAGACATAAATAAACCAGTGACTGTATTCGCCATGACACAGGCAGTCTGTGGTGTGTACTTGTTTAACTTTTGTCTAGTTTCTGAACATATATGAGGAGCTGTGAGCTCTGAGTGCTAACAGCTAACGGCTGTGTTGTTTTTCTGGGGTTCTCATTGAAGATGACGTCACGGCTCCGCCTACACTGCGTTACTATAGATACTACCCCAGTTCCTAAACTGTAATGGAAATGCGCCATAAAGTGAGCCAGTCCTAACGAGGCCTAGCCATACCGAGCGAGGCCGAGCGAGGCCGTGTAGTGGAAATGCGCCATTAGTCCCTCTGACAGCCTCTGCCTCTGAGGCTCCGTTTACACGGAGACGGAACGGGTTGTATCCACTACAGTTCTCTATCGTATGGACGGTTCGTTCACACGAGGCCGTAACGGAACCGCGGAAACGGAGCCCTCAAACGATAACGGGTCCCAAGGTGGGTAGATCTGCGGACGGAACGCTCTGGGGGGGTTCAAACGTCTCCGTGTGTACGCCCTATACGCCATAGCCCCGCCTCTCCCCACCTCTCCTGCTCACCCCCGTGCCACCCGCGTCATTGCTGATGTGTTTCGCCAACAACAACAACAGTGTTCCGAGTGTTTCGAGCAGGTCCCGGTATCTCGCAGGACAGTGCACCCAGCAGGAGCCTCCAGCAGACCCCCCCGCACGGCAGAGTTTCCATTAGCCGGTAAAATAAAATAAATAAATATGCTGAAGACCGGCAAATCTAAATCTCTCCGGTCAAAATGTCGCTTATTGTTTAGGTGTCCTTTGACACGCAGGCAGTCATATCATTAGCTATAACTAGCTAGATCTGATCGATATGGACATAAACGCGAGTGAAGTCTAATCGGACAGGAGAGAGAGATCAGAGATCAGCTGCTGCTGACGGAGACACGCAGCTCTGCATGATAACCTGCAGCTCCGCCCGCTGTGATGGAGCGGTGAGCAGAGCAAAACACACACTTCAAGTTAGATCATCACCCTTAGCTATTTTAATTACCTCTCAAACTACCTAAACTAGTTATAAATATGTTTATTTTTACTGTCGGGTCACTCATTACTAGGGTTGGGAACCGAAACTCGGTTCCAGATGAGAACCGATAAGAAAATGCCGGGTACCAGGTACCCATACAAAATACACAATTTCGGTTCTGCTTAACGGTTCTGCTTAACGGTTCCTAAACGCGGTAGACCCTGTATTCCACCGGGTCCGTCTGCGCCGCGGCGACCCGGTGGAATTCAGCGGCGGACTGGTCATCTGTGTGTTCTGGAGAATCACAGAACGGCCGGTTGTCAGCGGGCCGTTGACGGCCGGCTCGGTACGCTGATGGCCGGCACCGCCCTCCATTTTTTAAAACGGCATCATGTAAGTTGCACTGACAGGCGACAGAGGTCCACAGTTGCCCCGCAGCGAGGCTCCCCCCGCCCTCCCGTAGACACCAAAGATGGATCGCGGTAAACGCTCTAAAATGAGGCTCCACTACACTAAAAAAGAAAAAGACAAGGCACAGTGTAATGCCTGTTAATAGCTTGCCACAGGCATAGCTCAGTTAAAATAAAGCACAGCTATTGTGCAATACATTTGTATTGCATGTATATTTTTTATTTGTAAAAATGTCAGTTAAAGCTTAAATTAATAAAGATATTTTTGTTATCTAAACGTTTGACCTCTTTCTTTTACAATTTTGGAATCGAAACGGGGAATCGATAAGAACCGGAATCGATAAGCAGAACCGGAATCGGAATCGGAATCGATACATTTCAAACAATACCCATCCCTACTCATTACTGGATCAGCCAGCTGCATGAGACCACGGATACTGACGGGCTGTCAGAAGAGGGGGAGGAAAAGAGAGGCTCCGTTTATTATTCTTATATTATTATATAGAGTCGTTATCAATTTGTTTTAAAGCTCAATAAATAACAAAGAAGACCTTTGACCGGCACTTTTCTAATTTTGTCCGGAAGATTTAAACTTTAACGGACATGTTGACCGGCTGAAAAAAGAGGCCTGCGAAACAGCCAGAGCCTTGCCTCTCCCCACCTCTGCTGCTCACCCAAATATACAGCTCCTCTACCACAACCATCAGCAACAAGTGGACATGGAGAACTACATGAACTACATGTTGCTAAATCCACCGCGGAGAATAAACAGAAGGGCAACCATGCTCGGGAGGGTCTTATTTGCTGCTTTTGGTGTATTTTGTGGCGGAAGTACTTCAAGTACAGCACCACTTACAGGCCCGGCATATGTGCTACAGCGTCTCCAGCGGGTCGAGCGGTCTCGTGTGGACACGTTTCTTTAGCTGATTCCGTGTGGACGGAAGACTTTTTTGATATTGAATTCTGTTCGTTTTCGTTTCCGTGTAAACGGAGCCTGAATGTGTGTGAATGAGTGAATGCTGAATGATGTAGAAGTGTTTTAGAGGTGGTAAAGACTGTACAGCGTTATATAATACATTCTATTTACCATTATGAATGTATTTACCATTCTGTTGTCCTCCACAGAAAGCAGGTCTGACTGTGGAGGAGAACGCCCGTCTGAAGAGCCGCCTGCAGGCAGCCGAGGCAGAGGCCGGGCAGCGGCTGGGGGGGCAGGCGGGGGGGCAGCGACAGCCCAGCAGCGCCGAGCAGGACTACGAGGAGGTGATCCAGCTGCTGGAGGCTGAGATCAGAGACCTGAAGAACCAGGTGGCCAGCAAGAGGCCAGCCCGGGGCCTGGACTCCACTAAGGTCAGTCTCTAGAGTCCACTTAGGTCAGTCTCTAGAGTCCACTAAGGTCAGTCTCTAGAGTCCACTAAGGTCAGTCTCTAGAGTCCACTAAGGTCAGTCTCTAGAGTCCACTAAGGTCAGTCTCTGGAGTCCACTAAGGTCAGTCTCTGGAGTCCACTAAGGTCAGTCTCTAGAGTCCACTAAGGTCAGTCTCTAGAGTCCACTAAGGTCAGTCTCTAGAGTCCACTAAGGTCAGTCTCTGGAGTCCACTAAGGTCAGTCTCTGGAGTCCACTAAGGTCAGTCTCTAGAGTCCACTAAGGTCAGTCTCTGGAGTCCACTAAGGTCAGTCTCTAGAGTCCACTAAGGTCAGTCTCTGGAGTCCACTAAGGTCAGTCTCTGGAGTCCACTAAGGTCAGTCTCTGGAGTCCACTAAGGTCAGTCTCTGGAGTCCACTAAGGTCAGTCTCTGGAGTCCACTAAGGTCAGTCTCTAGAGTCCACTAAAGTCAGTCTCTGGAGTCCACTAAGGTCAGTCTCTGGAGTCCACTAAGGTCAGTCTCTGGAGTCCACTAAGGTCAGTCTCTGGAGTCCACTAAGGGCAGTCTCTGGAGTCCACTAAGGTCAGTCTCTAGAGTCCACTAAGGTCAGTCTCTGGAGTCCACTAAGGTCAGTCTCTGGAGTCCACTAAGGTCAGTCTCTGGAGTCCACTAAGGTCAGTCTCTAGAGTCCACTAAGGTCAGTCTCTGGAGTCCACTAAGGTCAGTCTCTGGAGTCCACTAAGGTCAGTCTCTAGAGTCCACTAAGGTCAGTCTCTGGAGTCCACTAAGGTCAGTCTCTGGAGTCCACTAAGGTCAGTCTCTGGAGTCCACTAAGGTCAGTCTCTGGAGTCCACTAAGGTCAGTCTCTAGAGTCCACTAAAGTCAGTCTCTGGAGTCCACTAAGGTCAGTCTCTGGAGTCCACTAAGGTCAGTCTCTGGAGTCCACTAAGGGCAGTCTCTGGAGTCCACTAAGGTCAGTCTCTAGAGTCCACTAAGGTCAGTCTCTGGAGTCCACTAAGGTCAGTCTCTGGAGTCCACTAAGGTCAGTCTCTGGAGTCCACTAAGGTCAGTCTCTAGAGTCCACTAAGGTCAGTCTCTGGAGTCCACTAAGGTCAGTCTCTGGAGTCCACTAAGGTCAGTCTCTGGAGTCCACTAAGGTCAGTCTCTGGAGTCCACTAAGGTCAGTCTCTGGAATCCACTAAGGTCAGTCTCTGGAGTCCACTAAGGTCAGTCTCTGGAGTCCACTAAGGTCAGTCTCTGGAGTCCACTAAGGTCAGTCTCTAGAGTCCACTAAGGTCAGTCTCTGGAGTCCACTAAGGTCAGTCTCTGGAGTCCACTAAGGTCAGTCTCTAGAGTCCACTAAGGTCAGTCTCTGGAGTCCACTTAGGTCAGTCTCTGGAGTCCACTAAGGTCAGTCTCTGGAGTCCACTAAGGTCAGTCTCTGGAGTCCACTAAGGTCAGTCTCTGGAGTCCACTTAGGTCAGTCTCTGGAGTCCACTTAGGTCAGTCTCTGGAGTCCACTAAGGTCAGTCTCTGGAGTCCACTAAGGTCAGTCTCTGGAGTCCACTAAGGTCAGTCTCTGGAGTCCACTAAGGTCAGTCTCTAGAGTCCACTAAGGTCAGTCTCTGGAGTCCACTAAGGTCAGTCTCTGGAGTCCACTAAGGTCAGTCTCTGTGAGGAACAAGACACATTACTTGGACTCAAATGCACGACTCAAGACAAAGTTAAAAACTCAGAAAGTCTTTAATAAAAGAAGAAAACAAAGTACAACAAAAATCACTCTTTTAGAGGAAAAACTTAGCAAAAACTGAACTGCAAAAACAAAGACTAAATAAACTAACTATGAGAAATAACTGAAAGGGTCTTGGCTTCAAACACTGACTCTGACTAACATGAAACAAGACGAACTGGCACAGGACAAAGGGAGACATGGGCTGCAGTCGAATAGTCCATTTAGCTTAGGAACCTTCCTAACGGAGTGAAATGACCCGGAAGTCCCTCAGTGGCAGCCATGATAAGTGCCGTTCGAATTCTCTAGATGAAAGGAAAGGAGGTTTTGTTGTGTTCAGAATTCCAGAAAAGACAGACAACTTCTAAGTTTAACTATTTATTGTAAAGAGAGCAAAAGATATATATTACTTGGCCAGGACTCATCACGTCTTTGGGAATCACAGGCAGCAAAGCTGTAATCTGTAACCACCAAATCCGTCAAGAGCCTCGAACCTCGTGCGACAATACATTTTATTACACAGGGCGTTGCCCGTACATTTATGATTGGTCAAAACTAGCTGAATAGATACCGCGGTTTAGACTTGGTTCTCTTTGGTTGGTGCACAGACTCAGATAGAGTCTCTTGGCAACACAATCCTCCAACCAGCATTCGGCCGGCCTGTGGAAGTCCCTCCCTACTCTGGCACCATCATACTAATTTGTTTTCTCTAACGTTTCTTCAGATATAGCGGGAAACCATAATGTTGCTTCCTAGCTTTGCGGGGGAGCGCGGCTCCCATACAGAGTCAAGGCCGGTGCGATGTGCTGTTCTGACTACCTCTTTGTGTTCTCTCAGTCTCTGCACTCCACCTTGCTACTTTCAATATTGCAAGCTAAACACTTTCTGATGTAACTTTTCCCTTTGTTCCTGTCCTCCCCATCAAAACTTGGGGGGGGGTGATTGGGTCCATTTATTCCTAAGTCACAGCACATACAATGAGCACAATAAGCAAATAATGTAATAATAAGAATCAGTCTTTCTAATGTTATATAAAAATAGACTCCACAGTTTCAAACTTCCTTTATAACCTCCTTTAGCTTAGGAACCACTGGACCTCCCTTGACGAAAGGAGAGGAGAAAATGCTGCCCCACAATGCCTTGCGGCCGCAGCATTTGCCGTCACACAACAGTCGGCCGTTCACGGAAACAACCGATTATGAACGAGAAATGATATCATGAAAGTTACGGTGCTTATTAAGCTTTTTAAAACGTATGTGGTAAGTTGCCAAAGTGCTTTGTTTTGAACGTTCATCAGTATTATAATCAAAAAGAGAAATATGAACGTTAGTTTTTACTGAAATGATCAAATAAAGTCAACATTTCACAGTCTTTACTGAGCTGTGTGGGGTTTGTTCAACTTTTAAAAGATGTTTGAATGGTGATATACACAGTGATAGATGTTAAGGACTAACGTTTATAATAAATACATTTGTATTGATTTTAAGATCTTTTCATACAATCATACGTATTGGGATCATTTGTATTAATGTGGACCGGAGGGAGAGGGTGACGAGCATAAGTTTCACTTTCCTTTTTTATTTCAATTCCAACTTTGGTCATGAAGAATAAGTTTCTCTGTTGTCCCCGTTCATAAAGCATAAAACAACAGCATCAGAGCACGGTGCAGAGTCTCTAGATGAGTTTACAGTAGTCCCTCGTTCTTATTAAACATCCATGTTGTAGTCCGCTGTATAGAAAACTGTAGTTTCCATAGTTTCCCCACAGCAGCAGGCGCACATTTATGACCTCCGCTGGCGCATCATAAACACGTCGGATAGTGAAAGTGCAGTCGGATTCTCTAAAGTACCGCAGTCTCTTCTCCTAAGTCCTTTTGAATTCTCCTATCCACTATCCCTTAACCCTGTGACCTTTCACTCAGAGGTCAAGGAATAGACGATAGGGATAGAACTTAGGAGCTGATTTTTGGATTATCCGACCGCAACCGAGGACTAATACAAGAGGTAAGGAGACACAGGTGGCAACAATCAAGGGGGGGAGACAATCTCACAGGCGGGAAAACACACAATGGCAGGAAGTAAGAGCTCTGAAACGAGAAGGAAAAGTAAGTACAAAATAAAACAGGAAGTGCAATGACAGACAGTGCATGACGAGACTAGTCATGAGTGACTGAAACTTAACACGTAAACAAAGAGACATGACGTAACATAAACCTAAATCTAAACATGGACTATAAAGTAAACATGAAACATATAACATAAACCTGATAAATAACTTTACATGACACGAGTGAATGTGTGTGTGTGTGTGTGTGTGTGTGTGTGTGTGTGTGTGTGTGTGTGTGTGTGTGTGTGTGTGTGTGTGTGTGTGTGTGTGTGTGTGTGTGTGTGTGTGTGTGTGTGTGTGTGTGTGTGTGTGTGTGTGTGTGTGTGTGTCAGGAGGATGTGCAGGAGCTCAACTGGAGGATGACTTCTATCGACGGCCAGCTGAGGAAGTCTGAGCTGAGCAGGAAACACCTGGAGGTCTCCAACAAGAAGCTGCTGGGCTTCGCTGAGGTCAGACCTTCAACTGGACACCTTCGCAATAAAACTGTATGTTGACCCTAACCAGAAACAACAGTGTTCATTTTGTATTGAAAGGATAGGATTTCTCCCAAACTGGACATATGTTCTTCTTCTGTGCCATAGAGCTTCATTGTTGTCCAAAAGCTATTGAAAAGACTCCAATGATAATTCATCATTACTGAGCTAATAGGCCCCTGTCCTAACATAGGAAAAACCTCCATGACAATCAGCATGCATTCTGAATCACCCCATAATCACTGCACATTAGGACACATACACTGGATTCAGAAACAGCTATTAAAATGACCTTTTTAAATCTCTGTGTGCTGCCAGTCTCCTGAGCTGTCATGGAGCCAGTGTGTCCCCCAGTGGCTGGGGGACACACTGCAGCTCTCTGCCACGTGTGAGGAGTCAGAATGAGCTCTTTACTGAAGGTCCAAGTTTTTTCAAGAAGGTTTTCATGTCTTGATTACATAGAACAGTGTTCCATCTATATGAGTCATACATGTGGACAGTCTGGTCTTCTCTTCTACTGAAAGCTTAGTTGATCAGGGACCCTGACTCTACAGGCAATGTACAGTTGTGATACACAGGGCCATATTCAGAGCTTAGCTCACCACTAGTAGTCCATTTGAATGTTTCTAGGGGTTAACTCTCACAGTAAGAACTTTCCACAAAGCTTTTTCAGGACTTGTGAGACCTGAAGCTAAAAGGAAGTGAACAGAATTTGACATTAAGTATGTTTTGTTCTTTTCTGTGAATAGAGACATATTGTCTGTAAGGGACAGGACTAATTTACTTAGAAACTGTGTCTCTGCCTAAGAGAAAAGTATAATTACGACGGAATTAGAGACTAACAAATGATATACCAGGAAGGGCCGATCTTTGTTGGAGTTGAGTGGTTCTCATGAGGCCACATGACCTGCTTGGGTCTCCAGGTCAGGTTTACGTCCTGGCATTCAGGCTCTGACATCACACCCCTCTCTTTATCTCCCTCTCTCTTCTTGTGTCTCATGAACAAACAATATTGGGACAGAACCTCACGTAAGTCCCCATTTTCTCTGTCCTCAGAACGTCCACAAAGTGCTGACCACACCCAGCCTGTTCGGTGGAGAAGGCGGGTAAGAGACATTACATTGCATTTAGCTGACACCTTTATCCAAAGCGACTTACAATAAGTGCATTCGACCAAGAAGATACAAACTTGAAGAAAACAGAATCATATAAGTACATCAGGTTTCATAGAGCAGATGGGAACTTGGGTCCCCCTCGCAGTGCGGGTGCAGCGAGCCGTTGATGCAGAGCGGAGTGCATGTGCTGGGGTGTATGGTTTAACCATGTCCTGGATGTAGGAAGGGCCAGATCCATTCACAGCATGGTACGCAAGTACCAGTGTCTTGAAGTGGATTCTAGCAGTTACCGGAAGCCAGTGAAGGGAGCGGTGTGGTGTGGGAACATTTAGGAAGGTTGAAGACCAGACGAGCCGCTGCATTCTGGATGAGCTGCAGAGGTCGGATGGCACATGCAGGTAGACCAGCCAGGAGGGAGTTGCAGTAGTCTAGGCGTGAGATGACGAGAGCCTGGACCAGAAGCTGCGTCGCTTTCTGGGTCAGGAGGGGACGTATCCTCCTGATGTTGTAAAGAGTGTATATGCAGCAGCGGGTTGTTGCAGCGATGTTTGCAGTGAAGGACAGTTTGTTATCTAGGGTCACACCCAGATTCCTTGCAGTCTGAGTCAGGGAAACAACAGAGGTGCCGATGTTGATTGTTAGGTCAAGAGTGGGACAATCTTTTCCCGGAAGGAAAAGCAGTTCAGTCTTGTCAAGGTTGTGCTTGAGGTGGTGAGCAGACATCCACTGAGAGATGTCTGCTAGACAAGCAGAGATGCGTGCGACGACCTGGGTCTCTGAGCGGGGAAAAGACTAAATTAATTGAGTGTCGTCAGCGTAGCAGTGGTATGAAAAACCATGCGGGCTAATGACAGATCCGAGCGAGTTTGTGTACAGAGAGAAGAGGAGGGGACCGAGGACAGAGCCCTGAGGGACCCCTGTAGATAATTGACAAGGGTCGGACTCGGACGGTCTTTGAGGTAGGAGGTGAGGAGGGAAAGTGCAGAGCCTGAAACTCCAAGTTCTTGGAGAGTGTGAAGGAGGATCTGATGGTTCACCGTGTCGAATGCAACAGACAGGTCCAGAAGGATGAAGACCAAAACCATCTGCCGCTCTACATCTCAGCGTCATGTCCCACAACTCTGTAAGCAGTGTGTGTGTGTGTGTGTGTGTGTGTGTGTGTGTGTGTGTGTGTGTGTGTGTGTGTGTGTGTGTGTGTGTGTGTGTGTGTGTGTGTGTGTGTGTGTGTGTGTGTGTGTGTGTGTGTGTGTTTCAGGAGCAGCAGGTCCTCTCCAGCCACCGACACCCCCTCCCCCCTCCCTGACCCCGCCTTCCAACTGGCTGTGGAGGCCAAGGAGCTGGTGGCAGGAGTCAGCACCCCCCCTGATGAGCGAGGTACACACTGCTGTTCTTATTTTAGTTTTGTATTTCATCTGTTGGTTGTGGAGAACAACATTTCTCCTCCATGAATCCAGAGTGTGTGTCATGGTAGTGACGATCCAGAATCTTGACTTTTGCAGCCTTGGCTCTATAACGACATGCATATTTGCACACAAGTTAAACTTAAAAAATAAAATAAAACCCTAACCCTTGGTAAATGGTATGCCATATGCATTAAGACAGAAACAAGTATCTAATAATAAAAAGCCCAAAATATCATAGTGAGGCAGTTCCACCTGTCTGTCCGTTAGGAAACCTGCTTTAGGCCCATAACATCCCATCATGTAAAACACAGATAAAGCAGTAAAAGCAAGCAGGTTTTCTATTATTGATTTCACTTACTTAACATCTCTGTATTACAATATTTTAAATCTTTCATCAAAATTTTTTTTGAGGTATGAGAAAAAGGTTTTGATCTTTTTTTTTTATTAAGTGTTAATCGTAAAACTCATTTTAGCCATGCAATAAACACAAGGTAAATGAATAAAATAAAATAAAGTTTAGCCTAAAGAAACACGTGACGTACATGTTGCTCTGAGAAGATCTGTTTCTTTTCATTTGTTCCTGACAGGGCTGTTCAGTTCCTTTGTTCCTTGTTTCTATGTCCTCAAAGGGACTAAATGATTGTTACAGTTTGTTGGTGGTACTAAGTACATTTACTCAAGTTCTGTACTTAAGTAAAACAATGAAGGACTTGTACTTTTCTTGGGTAATCAACATTATCCTATTTGATACTTTTACTTTATTACATTTTCTCTGCAAACGTTTTACTCCACAACATTTATTTTACACATTTAGTTACAAGTTACTTTGCAGATTTAAGGTTTTGCGATTATAAGGTTATTAATATAAAAATCCATACACATAATATTATAATATTATAAGTTAAGCTACCCAGTAGTGTATAAAGTCATTCAAATAAACCCCAGCCTTACCAAGTGCCACATTGAGGAGATGAACACAAAAATACAACAATATTTTGTATACAATAATGAAAAATGTATCTTGCTTAAATTGACTGTTTTGCATAATAATTACTTTTACATAAGGTACTTTATATATATTTTGTCACCAACACTTTTCTACTTTTACTTTAGTACAATTTTGAATGCAGAACTTTTACTTGTAACAGAGTATTTTACACTGTAGTTTTATGGTATTGTAATTTTACTTTCACATACTTCCTCCATCTCTGCAGTTTGTAAAAGTTATTTTTCTGTCCCACTGTGACCGACCTGCAGTCAGTGTGTTGGAGGCAGCATCAGTCCCAGATGCCCCCCCCTCCTCACGTTTGAGAACAGCGCAGAGCCAGAGAGGATTGTGGGAGGACCGGGGCAGGCTGAACCCACCATGGACTACATTACCCAGCAGACTGGACCCCTCCACCACACCTCCATCACCAGGTCCTCCTCTGACAGATGGAACACAGCCCATGTTTAATGCCAAAGCCTGCCTGCACTGAAAATGAGTGTCTTGTTTTGAAATATACACCCGTCTTTACAGAGGGTTCAGCAGCGGGGGGGCACTCTCTTCATTTCTTCATAATATCTGTACAGAAGTCTCTATGAGAAGTGCTCTGCCAAATATAACGTCAGCTGGATATCTGTGTGACTCTAACAGCAGGTGGTGTTGGGGGGGCTGCATGTCCGAGCCCACAACACACACATGCTGCTGTAAACCCTGTTAATACCCCCCCCCCCCAGATTCCCTCCATGGATTGCATGTAAAGGACGTGTTAGCTTGAAAGGACGCTCCACTGCTGGTCTGTTCAAAGAGTCTCCCTCATGTCATGATACCTGGCTGCATCTGTCTCCATCACACTACCGGTGAGCAAAAAGTGAAATACAACAGTCCCTTTCCCATCTTCCCTCGTGTCCTTGTCATTAAAGAAAGGTAAAGAATGTGTCAGAGATATGGGACTGAGCAGAGCTTCATACTGCATGGTTCCTGATGTGTGTGAGCTCCGGCTGTGTAAACCTGTGTTTGGTCGTCACAGAGTCTCAGCAGACATCATAGGCTACACGTGGAACATACATGTGATTTATAAGGACAGCTTTTAAAAATACGGAGCTGTCCTGTATTCAACAAGATGAGTCTCTGATGTGTGCCTCATATCTTTCTGTTACTGTTTTATAATAAAGGACCAACTGCTGAGTGGACGCCTCCTGGTGTTATTTTTTTTATACTTCCTTTTTTTGCTTTCTTTACAGTGTATAATTACTGACAGTTAATCATTTATTTCCTTTTAAAGAGAACAGTGCCTGAATGGGGACAGTCTACATTATATTCAAACAGTACAGTTATCCTTTGGATATGTACCTAAACCATTTTGGGTCTGTGAGTTTCCCCATTTTGAGACTATCCCCTTTAATGTTCAGCCATTGTGCACTTTCTGCACTCTCGAGCCAGGTCTTAGTCGTAGCCTTTTTACCAGCAGCAGGGAGAATCTTGACAAGATATTTATCTTCTACAAGTATAGTTCCTTCCATATTTCAAGGCAACTTTGAGGGATTCCGTAACCTAGTTCCTCGCACTGACCTCCTGCTGTTTACCAAAATCAACCTTTATTCATCCCGAGGGGAAATTACATTTTCAATCTGGTGTTATTGACTTTACATCACACAATAGGCTTGAAATGCCATATGCATTTATGTAGAGGTGTCAGAGCTTAGGGGGTGCAATGGGATGGAGGTTTGCTTCCTTGCTCAAAGACACATCGGCAGTGGCAAGGAGACAAACTCTCTCCAGCTTCCTGTCCCCCTCTGTCTGATCAGGACCTGAAGCAGCCACCGCTCAGTTCCCAAGGCCAATCCATTAGACTGAGCTCCTGCGGCACAAATTATTCCAGTTTCCCCACATTTAACACTTACAGTAATACAACATTATTTTACCCAAAGGTAAATTCAGATGATCTAGGAGACATGTACAGTGTAACAGCCTGCAGTTTTCCACAGAAGACACAAGAATCTCAGACAGGTATCGTTTGTCAGTGAGGAGTGTTTCAGGTGTGTGTTTCACCTAAAAAAAACATGAGCTTGCAAAACGTTGTAGTTGAGAAAATAAACTAAAAGTAACTTTAATTGACAGAAATCTCAATGACATCAGCCCACACAAATTAGCAGACAAGTAAACTATAAGGCTGGCGTCACACTGTCCCGAAATTGACACCAGATGGACAAACGAATACGGAATTGTGAATTTCGCACGAAGATGGCCCCGAACTTGGTCAACAGCCAAGCAAGTACGATACCTACCCACAAATTGTACTATAATACGATGGCTACACGACGGCATTGCGAGGGCTTCACGTAGTCGTGTTGCCTTCCTAAGACAATCGGGCAGCTTCTTGTTTCCTTCGTATTGTCTTCGTGAGGCGAAAATGATGGCACCGATGATCAGACGAAGTAAAGACGAAGATGACACGATTTGACAAGATGCCCTCACGCTGGCCTTACGAAGGGCAAAATGGACACATGAATTCAACACGCAAATGAACCTTCGCAAGGTCTTTCGGCAATTTTTTGGCATGCCAAAGATTTTGCCACCGCTCACGAAGTTGCTGCCGGAGCCTGAGAAACTCCACCGGCGGTCATACGATGGCTTAAGATGCCCTCACGAACGGCCCGATGTTGTTACGATCAGAGCCGAATTTGAACATTTCCTTTATCGTGTGTCCATCTGGTGTACATTTCGGGACAGTGTGACGCGGGCTTAAAGTAATACCTGGTAAACAACGTTTATTTCTTTAAAAGAAACTTCCCATTTATTGTCATGTTGAAACCTTTACAGAAACACAGGAGGGTGGCGGTATTAAAAGGCTTTAACTAATAGACTGGCATCACATTATGTAAAGAGACCAAAAAGACTTTAATGTTTTATCGTACTGAAAATAAAACAATGTGACCTTGCAGTTCAATCCTTTTTACAGATTCTGGAACTTTACCTTCTGCACCATCTCTATGAAGGTAGATATGGTGCAAAATGCGAGAGCTTGTAAAACCTGATGTGAGAAACAAAATCTGAGCTTGTGTGCATACATTTACACTTGTATAAAATATCCACGTATCTGTGAACCAAATTTGAAGTCACAGAAGAAAAAAAAGTTTTGTAGCTTGTAATTTTCTAACACTGTGCATGCAGTAGGCGTTGGACTGGAAGTACCGACCATAAACGGTTTTGAAAACTTCTGTCACGTAGTGATCATCCTCTCAATAAAACATCTTTGCTGAGGTTTTTTCGAGTCTTCTGGCCAATCAGAATCAAGATTGTTGCCGGAAGTCCCCACGGAGAATAACTTTGCGGTAGAACTATTCTTTATACATCCATGGGTACAACTTCAGATAAAAATGAACAGGTAATGTAATATGACCCCCGGTTTGATGATTGACAGGTCAGAGGTCACAGAACAATGGGGGCTATCTACCCTTACCCACAATTTAAAGTAATTCACACAGACTATCTCCTCTTTGCTCTTCTCTCTGTGTGGAGCAGCATGTTCAGCTTCAGAACAAAGTGAAAAACAAACAATGGCATCAAATATTATTAATATGTCGGGTAGTAATAGATGTATTTATTTTCTTCTCAGAGTGTACAAGAATGCGTATTTATATGTTAGTATTTCAAAAATTCTCTTCTTCTGGGGTTGGGTTTTCAGCATGTGTGCCTTTTTATGTGATACAGTTCAGCTTTGATTCCATCATCTCATTAAACCTTTTTAAAAAGCATTCTTTAGTTCTGTGAAGGGATATAAGGGATATATGCACTGTGCTTCACTTTAATTAATAATGTATGCTGAAAAGCGTATATATATTACGATTTTTTGTTGAATAGATTTGAGTGGTTCAAAATTCGGGTTGCGATTTATTGACAAAGGAAAAAGTGGCTCCCGAGGCCTGACCAGTTGTGAACCACTGGACTAGGCTACTTGTTGCTTGTTGCTTTAACTTGTGGCATAGGCCTAAGCCGTTTTCTACAGGCACATTTTACCGGCGTATTTTTCATTATGATTCTACTTGTGATAGTCGGACATGACAACCTGTGCAGCCCATGTATTGATTCCATCCGATAGCTGCTATAATAACAAACAAAACGTCTGCCTGCTCTCCACAATGATCAATAACAGAGAACGGATGGTCAAAGTAAGGTACAAATAAACAGAATCACACGAAGCCTGGTTAGTGTTGTGTGAAGCTGACAATTGAGCGGCCCGACCAAGCAAGGAGGCAGAGGCAAAACGTCCCAAATACAACCCGGTGTGGGCATTTATTAAAATCAGACACATGACTCACAGCCTCAATCCTGCTGTTCTCCCTGAACATATCCTGCAGCCACAAGGGTCTCACCCACCACAGGAAACACAGAGCCTAAATACCCACAGACTAATCAATCAACAAGACACAGGTGAGGGGGGAGGAGACAACACAGGGCACCAGGTGAACACAACAACAACAGACATGGGGGAAGGGGAACACTTTTCAGAATAAAACAAGAAACAGAGACAGACAAACTAAAACATAGACAGATCGTGACAAATAGATGCATAAATGACATGTATATTCACATTCTTCCTGTGCCATGTTTTAGTGTAGAACAGAATATACTTCGCCAAATATGAAGCTATATTATCCGTAACGGAGGCCGAGATCTATGGCCCCAGAGATCACCTCCGTTACATGTTGCCTGACTTTATAAAGTGCGTTTTTTTTTAAAGTGTGTGGTTGCGTTCTAGTCACTTTGCTCAGCGCTACTGCTTGTTACAACTTTTATTTGCCGTACTCTCCATAAACTGTTAGCTCAGGTCAATCTCACCCGCTCCAACGTAAGCGTGACGTATGCGGTTCTTGCCTCAAGACTAGACCGATACTTTTTTCGAGCTTGGTAAGAACCGGTTTTCGGGGAAAAGAGCCGTCTCCGCTGCGGCGTGAACAGGAAAAACCGGTGCTTATCAGGCTCAAGCTCCGAACCGGCCCTGGAACGGCGTTAGTGTGAAAGGGGCAACATGCAGGGCCCCGCAGTCATCCGGTTCGACCTGACATGGCTGTGTGACTGACCCGAGCTTGCACCTCCTCGTTCTGATAGCTCCGCCCCTTCGCTCCAACCCCCCACATCTACAGGTGAAAATTACTTTAGCGACACATTCATCGCAAGAAGTGTAGCAAAAGTCAAGGCCGCATATTCGTCGATGTATACTGCCACAGAGCAGATTCGTGAAGTTGTAATGACTGATTTGAGAGGTTGTAATAACCAAGTTGCAGTTGTAATGGAAAATATATTTAAAAATATATATATTTTTCTGCAAGTGCTCACATCAGGTTTTACACTCTCTCGCATTTTGCACCATATGTACCTTCATACATCTCCGCTGCTCTGAGGTCAGCTGTGTGATGCATGGGACTCCATCTCCCATGAGGCTGTTCTGATGACAGGTTGCCGTTTCCTCTTCTCTCACACTCACCAAACCAGGCGACTCCTGGTGCTGAGCTCAGCGCTCTTTATATGCAGACTCTGAGATGCAGAGTTCTTGTCTGGGATCAGTTATGTTTTTGGGAGTGTGGTCTGCAGCAGGCATCATGATGATTTTATAAATAAACTAAAGTAATTGCCTCATACCAATATGTGCTACCCACACAATAAACAGTTTTAACTTTTTATTCCGTACAGAACCAGACAAAAAGTGAGGAAGGCTCGACAACAGTCTATGGAGTGTTACATTAAACTTAAAATACCATACAAACAGCCCCCCCTCCATTTCTTAAAGTGTCAAATAAAAAGGTATGCACATAAATACATCTTTATTTAGCCTCTCACTGATTCTGTTGCTGTCATTGGAGTTATTGATTTGCATGATCTGCCGTTAATCAATTTGTGAAAATATGTCAAGTTAGACTGAGCAGGTCTACACTTCCTGAAAGTCACTGAAGCTTTCTAGGAAGCGTCCTGTGTGAGAGCAGAGATCAGTGTCATCTCTTCACCGGCTCGTGTTCCTCAGTGTGTTTGAGTCCTAACTTAAATGTGATGCGTGTGGTCAGTGTCTCTGGAAGGCGATGGGGGGGGAGCCCAGGCTGCTGGGGCTGGGGCTGCGGAGGCTCGACTCGTACGAGCTGGGTGTCATTCCCACAATACCCTCTGTCTTCGGCGTCTCCCCGGACAGGAAG